CATTCGAGCGAAAGCCCGATCCTGATAGACCAGATAAAGAAATTCTTGAACTTTTGGAAATTTGTTTAAAACATAATGACTTTACTTTCAATGAAAGTATTTATCTTCAGGCTTCATAGACTGCCATAGGAAAACGCTTTGAGCCCTCTTATGCAAACATTTTCATGGCAGAATGGGAAAGAGAAGTTTCACTCCTCTGTCCCAAACTACCAATTTTTTATGTAAGATTTCTTGATGATATTTTCTTAATTTGGACTCATACAATAGATGAATTTTGGGAATATTTTGATACTCTCAATAGCCACCACCCTTCTGTAAAATTAACTTCTAATATTAGCGACAAACAGATTGATTTTCTAGACACCACAGTTTTTAAAGATACCAATTTTCATGAAACCAATCAATTAGATATTAAAGTTTTTTTCAAGCCCACTGATACTCACCAACTTTTATTCAAATCATCTTTTCATCCTAAACATACCTTTTCTGGCATTATAAAGTCGCAGATCTTGAGATTTCACCGAATTTGTACGCGCAAGAAGGACTTCGAGGAGGTTTGTTCAATTGTTTTCCAAAAATTGCGCGAACGTGGATATTCTAGAAGGTTCTTGAGAGGTATTAAAAGCTCAACCGTTGCTAAAATCTCTGCTAAAAATAATTCGATTCTTTTGCCAATACCAAATTCTTCAGTTTATCCTTGTAACAACCCTCGCTGTCAAACCTGTCCCTTCATTTTACCAACAAATTCTTTCCGAAATAGACGCACGCACAGATTCCATATTTCAAGTAAATGAAAAACTCGACTGCAACAGCAAAAATATTATTTATCTTATTTCTTGCACAAAATGTGACGTACAATACGTTGGAGAGACAAAAAATTCGTTAAGGGTCCGTTTCAATCATCATAAGTCTGACATCAACTTAAACAAAATTAATAAAACCGTTTCAAAACACTTCAATCAACCCGATCACCAATTAACAGACCTGAAAATTATTCCCATTGAACAGATATACGAACAACCTGGCATTGATACAAAGAAAATTCGACTCATTCGCGAAAATTTTTGGATAAACAAATTACAAACCATGCATCCTTTGGGAATGAACATCCAAGTTGATTTCCAAATTATACCTTTTGTTATTCAATACAACAACACAGCTGGTCAAGTTCCCCGAATAATTATCCGTCTTTACAAAGAATTGCAGGAAAAATTTCCAACAGTCTTTACAAATGATTTAGTTATCGCCTATACCCGTAATAAAAATCTAAATGATATCTTAGTCCGTGGTAGATTACCCCCCATCCCCCTTCCATAGGTTTAGTACATTTCCTTTAATTAATATTTCTTATTTATGATAACTTGCAATTGAAGAGTTTCCTCGCAAAAATATCATACACGTATACTATTTTCACTTAATAAATTATATATATTTTTTATATGAAATACGCATTTTCCTTTTCATTTAATATAGGACAATTCCTCAGTTTCACCAGTGAAAATGTTTATCATGATTTCCATGGTTATTTATGTTCCTGTTGGAACCAGTATTCTTCTTATATATTTCAGATTCGGAAGATAATGGATTTGCATTTCAAATATTTTATATCACTCTTTTAAACTAACCTCACAAACATTGCTCTATCACTAGAGGTTACGCCTACATGCCTGTGCCTGTGCTTTCGTAACATTGCTTAACCGCAATATTACAACCTTAAATTCCAATTACTGAATGAATGTGGTTATCAGATATATGTAAATAGACCTATCTTCGAATAATGAATAATAATATTGAATAATGTGACTTAACCAATAAACCTGATATGCAAATTATAACCTATCCACTGATCGAAAGACTTATTCAGATGTCAAAAACAACAGAAAGGAATAAAATAAACTAGGAGCAAGAATAAAGATCAAGATATTATATTTTACAGGTATAATGTGAAGTACAATTATATAAAATATCCACTGTACCACAAAGTATGAAATATTTTGAGTGTAAATGTTTCAGGTAAAGTAGCCACGGACTGGATAAACCGAGAAACCACAATACCTATCAAACAGATCTAATATTGATCAGGCACAAAAAACTTAGGATACTAGTCCATCAGCACATTTCAATGTTCAATACTTAACAAAATTTTTTTTTTTACATATGATACAAATAGTTCTCAATTTTTAAAAAATATTGCTTATTTGTATTTGACATGTATGAGATGTAAGAAGGGAACTTAAAATAGAGCTTCATTATACTATTTGACTATTCAAAGACATTTTTCCATTTTTTGTCCATAGAATCCTTTCTCAAACAGAAAGATATTAGTGGAAGTTGACTAATGATTAACTCCTTTGTCCTGAAAATAAACCCAGTGGAGTAATTACATTGAAACTTAATTGACATCATCAACAGATAACAGTATAGCATGCAGTATAAAGTTATTTAAATACCTATTGATCGACAACAATTTCCTCAACATTTAACACATAAAACTTATCAAAATAGATTGAACGGGGATAGTGCTGAAATTTTACAGAATTTCTAGTAAAATCCCAATAATCAATGCCAATCAAAACTTACTTTCAATTCAACTAAAAAAAATCATAACACGACATGAAAGAATCTGTAACGTTGAACGTTGAAACCTTTTTCTAAAAATCAGCTGTCAATTAAAGTTTCAATAAAAGTTAACAGTATGAATTATTAAACCATCAGAAATCATTATTCAGCTCAAATATTTTTATTTCCAATAAAACTCATTAAAACTTTCAGCTTCAATACACCACACAATCTGATTGAAATAAAGATCTACCATACATGCCTTGAGTCAGATGATTTAATAAACTCAATATCCATGATCTTAGGATCTTAATAAATAAACCAAGTACTAACAATCCAAACCACACAACAAAATTCAGAAATCCAAACAACATACTGACAAAACATTGGTAATTGCATACAACAACAATAGTGGCATTCCATTCAATCAACCTTACAGAGTAATAAAAAATATATCTACAGACTCTATCTACCAGCTATATTATGCTTTTAAACTTATACTTTAACTTCCATTTGATTCACAAAATTATCCAAACATCTATTTCACAGATATACATCACATGGAAGCACCATCATGCAATGTCCAGCAGTTCAAAAAAATTTCAACGTTGAAAATACAAAATAGACTTAATTATCTATTCACAGATAAATGAAGAAATTAAGTTAAAGAACATAGCATAATCCTCCTACATTCCAACACACCAAGCAATTTGGTATTACGCCAGCTGAAAGAACTCTCTTCTACTGGAAACAAAAAAATCAATATGAATAACTATGACCAGCTGTCAATGGACGAATGTAAACAACCTCTGTGACATTTTTTACATCAAAATTCACTTCTGCGATCAAATAAATCGTATTTTATTTCACATCGTCAATAAGTTAAATGACATTCATAGTTTTAATAATAGACTTCTATAACACACTGAATTTATTACTTAATTTCTCTTCAATACTTCATTCAGAAAGAAACATTGCATATTTGAACTAAATAGAAGTGATGGCAAGTTTATAAAAAAGAGTGAACAACTGTCCTACATTGATTGTGATAATTATCTGAAAAGCCATAAATTGGCACACATCGCATCAGCCTCAGACGCTTTTTTCATATCAGCACCTCCTACCAGTGGAATCAGGTTGAAAAATCTGAAGGTATTATCTGGACCTATTTCCAGATTGAACTTGGACCTTCAGGTTAGCGAGCATGCGTCTAGCTCACTGAGCCACTGCTGCTGTCTGAGGGATGTAAAAGCAACTTACTTTACAAACAAATGACGAAAGATCAAATATAACTCTATTACAAAATATAGGAGAAAGTTAAAACAGACATGACTGGCAAATAAAATCAAATTAATAAACCTATCAAGGGAGATATAAAATAGTACAATATTATAGAGTATTTGAACTGTTGTCATCTATTTACTGATATCAACTGATGTTGTGCTGTAATAATCTGAGGTTTAGGTCTGGATTAACTGGGAAAAACAAAGGATCATAGTTTGATGTGTTAAAGGTGGCGTCTCAAGTAAAATCACTTGTCAATTCATACAACATTCTACCTAAAGGGTCTATCTCACTGGTTTGGAGACAAGTAGGTGACCAGTTGGCGTCTCGAGTCTGTGGGAGTTGCGTGGAGACTAATTTTGTCTATGTGATAAGTCTATAAGGTCTCTGAGGCCTGTTAGAGACTGAGGAGACATTGCAGCGACGTCTATTTGCATATTTGTTCGGTCAAAAACAAAATTTCTTGATATTTTAATAATCTAAATCCAAAATTGAAGAAAGAAACAAAAAGGTAGGAAATTGGTTTTAAAGGATTGGTGATGAGTAAACATAGAAATCTTTTTATTGAACAAAGAAAAGTAACACATGGTTAGTTAGTTACTCACAGTCACTGTTTCAATCAGAGAAAGATAGCCTTAAAGATTTGAGAAATCAGAAAACAAACAACTTCGATCACGATCACTTCATTCTTCTTTCTAATAGGGTAATTAAAACTTTGACCTTTTACAGGTTGTAGGTTAGTTCTGAGTGTGTGATGAATTGTGAGTCAAAAAACAGGTACTTTTGTACACATATGACAAGTATTTATAAAAGTATGTATTTGTATGTAAATATTTAGGACTAGTGGCCATTTCTTGGAGTGTTAAAGGGAAATTTTTTATATGTATCGGGGACACTAAAATTAATTGTTTGATGAAGTTGCAAAGGCCTTATGTCATAAAGCATATTTTGAGATTAGTGACGTCATCAAACAATTTTAGTGGAATTGTAGGAACCACAGGCATCTGATTTAAAATTGGAATGGTGCAAATTGATGCTACCGGTTTAGAAATTTAGAAAACCTCTTTACAATCCCTTTAAGGATTAGATATGGACTCCTAATACCCTTTATAAAGCTGCATCATTATTTTTATTGTGCTGTCATAGAGCCATGTCATTTAGCTGAAATGTAAGCTTATAGGACACACAAAGAAAAATCCTACAAAGCAAAGATAATGGTCACGATTGATGTCATGTAAAACTTTTCTGATTTAGACAGAAAAGCAAACAAAAAGGTAGAAATTCTTTATCTTCGAAGAAATAGTTTACGTTTTAAACTATAATCATATTGACCATGCATACTGTAGAGATTGTGTGTTTGTGCTATGATCTTTTTTGTGTGTTTCTGATTTGAAGTGTTGTATTTATATGAAATAAAAACTCACCTTCTGGAGTATGTTGAAAAGCATTTTCTTTTATAGATTCTAATGTTTCATAGCCCCATCTTTTATCAAACTCTTCCTTTCCACCATCTAGTCTCAATCTAGGGTAGGTCTGGTATCTTATCTGGTTGGCAGACTGAAATATACATAAATATATATTGTTACATAAAAAATGCAACTAGTTGGTGGTTCTCTTGTAATATGGATTGACATATGATAGTCAAATCTGTAATGCAATATGATTATTGGTTCCATGTCTGTACACTCGTATCAGTTTTGCTTTCTGTTATTTACCATAATGAGTGACTAGCACTGTACAACTCTTTGAACTTGATATACTGATGACTTTTTGTACTAGTTAAGTAAGGTTTTGGAACAATGCTTAAAACTATAGTAAAATCTCTACCATATTGCCATAACATATTTAATTCTGTGGGACAACATCATGATTATTAAAGGGAAGCAACTTTCAATATGATTTTGATGTTAGATTCTGTTACATCAAAGGACAAAATTTTGGGGTTTTGAACATAGTTTTGCACCACTCTATGCACAAATATCTTAAAAGTTATCATTTTTATTTGATAAATAACTTGAAATTTAAGCATACAATGAAATCTGAAAAGAGTAATGGCTTACATGTAATCAATAAAGGCAGACATATAAATGTGTTTTTAAATTTTTAAACTGCAGGATAATAGTATTATATAATTTTATAGTGCTAAGGTATCAATATATACACTAACCTCCTCACTGTCATGGCATGATAAAGATGAAATATCAGTCAATAAAACCATATATTTGGCTTCCCAATTGGGTGTAGGTTGGTTTCCATCACTAAATAATCTATACTCTAAATGACTGTCTAGATCTGAAATATATATATTAAGATATTTAAATCATACCTTGTGATCAAATTGGAATAGATAAAAAGAAACTAAACTAAAAGAATTGTCAGCTTTGTACAAATTTTCAACAAGTTTTCAATTCTTTATATCTTGCCATTCAAAGAATAGATATTATAAATATTTTAGATGAAATTGTAGGTCTTATAAGCAACTGTCACTTTTTTTCAACAGAATTATATCTTGTTTATTAAATCCAGGTGACTACCATAAACTAATTTAATCTTCTACAAGAAGAGCTCCACAGATAAGTGTGCTGAGGACTGTTTCTCTTCACACTAAACTTGAATAACCAATCTCAGACCACCGATCTAGACTAAAACAGAATGCTAGTGTAAAAGACCCTAAAGAGGCTCATATTCTATAAGTGATTTTATGATCACAGAATTTTTCAAGATATGCATTTCAGACTACATTGTGACCTATATTATGCAGTTACAAATATCAAAGTACCTAAAATCATATTTAAACCATATAACCTTCAAAGTGAAATAAAATCATGATAAATCAGAACTGCCCCAGGTCTAAGAAAAATAATTATCTATTTCTAACCTAAATGTTTTAGTCTATTTATGTTATATCAACTTGTAAAACAAGAAATAACTAACTGTCAGAGAAAATTTGATTGAAAACAGATTCATGTCCATCAAATTCTTACATCAAATATAACCGGATACATCCTGACAATAATTCAATAAACCAATCATAGAATTGGTTCACTTACTCAAATGATAAAAGCATTAAAATCTTGATATCTTCAACTATGTCAAATTTCATCAAAGTTAGTGAAGGTGGGGACATCTTTCATAGAGATGAAAAACAATTTTCCAGACAAAATAACTAGAAGTCTAGAGCTATACCAGGTTAGAGCCAGAAACAAATATCATAAAAATAAATCAGCTTCTGTTTTCTACATAGTTTCAATTTTAAAACATTTCTTTATTTTGCATAAAATAAAACCAATTTCAGATGTAAATTATTTTTAAAGTATAATTTTGAAAATATCTGAAAACTTCTGTAAATTAATGTAATACAGGTGAAATACAGACAAGTGGTTCTCAAGGTATAAAGAAGGTTAACTGCCTATTAAACTGTGTAAACAAAGACTTAAAGTAAGGTGGAAATAAGTGTTGTATTTAACCCATACATCTTTAAAACTGACAAGAGCTAAACTGAGAAATAATTTAGGAAACAATCTATATGTATACATTTGATGACAGATGAGAGGATAAAAAAACCTAAAATGTGCAAGAATCTTTAAGATATATAACAGCCCTATTTTACTGTGTAAATATAGAATAAGAAGCAAGGTGAAGCTGTATTCACCTATTTCTAAGCTTGGTATTATTTATTAAACAATTCAACATCTACTTTAAACCTTTATCAAGACCCTCTCTTTTATAATAAGTACATAAGGTTTCCGGTTTGTCTGGCCCTGTGTTATAATAAGGTCTATTAATTTGTTGGTAAAAATATATCAAAGTATAATCAGCAAGTCAATAAAATTATCATCTTCAGATTTTGAAATAATATGAGAATTTTGACCTCCTCAGAATTTAACTCCTGTTATTGACTATCCAGTGATGTAAGTCAGGAAAATGCAATATCTGTCTGCTTTTATACTTGATGACTACAGATGTTGACATGAGATCATTGTATAGGAAAATGTTTCAAAAAATGTCTTGGAATTAAAAGAACACATACAAAGTAACAAATCATTAAGCCATCAAATATCAACAAGTATCATGAGAACAACATAGCAGGACAGATATGATTTCCTAGCTAGGGTTGGCCATGAATTCATTACCTAGGAATGTTTTAAAATAGTCCAGGATGTGAAAAGTTAAAGAGAAGAGCCAGGTTTAAAGGAACACAGGTGTTTATTTTCAGGGTGTTTACAAACTTTGTTTATTCAGTTTAATCGGTCACCATCTCTTTTATTTTAACTTTCCCAATTATTTTCATCTAATTTATGGCTTTTCTTTGTTATAAAACATGGTTGCCATAATCATTCATTCACAAATTGGTGAATTAATTCAAAGTTTCTTTACTTAATTCTTTTCATTGATGAAATATATATTATTTTGTATTTAACTGCCACTTTTTAGTCAGGGTAGATGATTTAAGGAAGATTTCTTGTTAAATTTCATCATGAACAAATCTACAACGACTAAAATCACAGCTGGGTATTTTGGAGCTTTCAAAGCATAATGACTAGCAAAAGCTATAATAACCATATCAACAGCCTATGTGTTATATATTTTTTTAGAATTTTATACCACATAATAACAACAAAACACATGATGTGAATAGAGCAGCTGGATACAGAATTGTAGATAAAGATATAGTAGATACAGTAATATCAGAGTCACTGGACCTTATAACACATTATTCATACCTAATTAAAATATGATAGTGCTAAATTATGTCATGATGTCCTACAACAATTTATTCTATTTGAGAGAGCATTAAGATAAATGTCACAATGTCCTTAATTAGTCCTTGATTAGCACATCTAGATACTTCTGAATCTAACACAAGTTTGTGTTGAAGTATAATGGTAACGTTTGCCAAAGAAGGCAGTAGCCTAGGTCACAAGAAGAGAACATGTATAAGATGTAAGACATAACATGTTTCATTAAATCAGTAAAGGTAAAGTAGTAGTGTCAATAATCTAATCAATAAACGGTGGCTTCAAAAATGGAAAAGAGTATTTTCTATATTTTGAATTGATGTATTTATTTCATAAACTCAGCTCAGAGTTTTAATCATTGTATTATTTTCCTCAAGAAATCATTAAGAAAAGATTATAGCCCAGTCCCTCAGATATCACAGATTTTAATATTGAATGTGAATGTTTTAATTCAATAGATATTAGAGAATAAACCAAGTAATACCCTGGATACATCGTGAATATTGAGAAATTAATTGGTGTTTACTATCTGATCAATCATAAGATTATTGGAGTGAACAATATTAACTCTAGAAATCAATTATTGACTAAATATCACATTGTTGTATTAATTTCTTCCTTTCAACATAATACTATTCTAATACCGAATCAGACACAGGGTGCAGATTGTCTGTATGACTGATTTTAGTGATTTCTCAGTTTTCCATTTTCTTAATGTTGTAGGCCTTAACAGAAGATAAAACTACTATATCACAAAGACAATCAGAAAGCATTCCACTGCACCCATAAAGAATTTCAGAACGGTGAGTCCAGTAGGTGGTAGCAATTCGATAACAGGCTATTTGAGGACAATATTTAAGAACACCTCAAATATATATTCACTATTCTGTGGAAAATGCAAAATTTTCATTTATCTAACATTAAGGATGTCTTTTTTTTATATATGGCAGTATCTCAAACGGGGATTATTCTGGATTTGTAGGCTTTGACGCAGTGGCATCTTGGCAGAGCAAGGGAGAGAGGAGGGTCCCTCACTTTCAAATTTCGTATCGCTTTACATGGAAAGAATGAAGAAGTTCATAGAAACTCCTATGTTAAGTAAAGCACTGGCCACATCACAAATAAAGAGATTGATAAAAAAATAGGATGCAGTTAACATAGTAGTTAGCTTTGCACATAAACAAATCTACCAGTAATCTAAAATAAATCTAATGAATACTAAAGTCTTTTGCCAAAAATTCTACAAGATAAGGGAGCATAGGTAGGTTCTGGAAAGATACAAATCTATAAAACTTATTTAAAGGGATTACAGTAGCCTATATAGGGCCTTATACTTATTTAATCAGCTATGATAAAAAGAGAAGTGGACTGAGTTTACTGCAGACCAGGTGTGAGCCCCTTTTGATAATTCTGTTACCCCTACTTGACCCTCACACCTTGTTTCATAATCCTGAAAACGACTGTTTCTTAAAATATACTGAAGCAAAAGTGGTTTGAGGGAATGTCAGTAGGATGTGATTAAAGGCGAAATTTTCAATTAAATGGCAGAACAAAGTTGTGTGCAACTATGTCAATAATGAAAGTTTGCTTCAAACTATTTGAGAACAGTTTTTTAAATATCTTTCTTCAAAATCATGACAAAAATCAAATAAAAAACAAAAACAATATGTGTATTATTTTCTAGCTAATGAGTCACTGAATAAGTTAACTGCTGTTTCACTGTTTTATTTCAATGTAACAAATATTCAATAAAATACATAGTCGTTTAATTACATTCACAATGACAAACACTGTGAGTCAATAAAACACAGTACAACACTCACCCCACACATTCAGCCAGCCTTCAATTCGACTTGCTAAATTCATCTTGAGACAAAACTTTCTCGATGCCATGCTTGTTATTACATAATTTCCATCACTGTCAACGCTTCAGGTATTCCATAAAAACTTAAAAATAAGTCGGGTATAGAAAATCACTGAAGCATAAAAATACACGCGACTTATCACTGTTTAAAATTCAGACATATTCACCGCTTCGATATGCGTATTAATTCATAATATCAACCACGCCAAATTTTCCTTTCTGAAGGATTTTCAATAATTCTGATTGCATCAAGATGATTTTAAATTCGGAAAACCTTAAAAAAGTTTTGATATCTGACGTACTCAATATATTGTTAAAGATTTGACAAAATAAACAGAACTATTCCATTTGCGGATGGACATTTAAAGGTGTTATGTTTTGGTTCTATTTTCTATTTTAGGCCTAAGGCCTACCTGTAAAAATCAGAGAGATCAAAGGGAAATTTTATTTAAACGAACAATAAAATAGATGCAAATTGGGATATTATGGATTTATATTTGTAATGTATGAAAATTGAGATGGATTTCATTTTGGAAATGTGAAATTTGAACTGGATTTGTAGGTAAACAGTAACACTGAACCAAAAGCAGATGTTATTCTCTTGGCAAAAGGTCTTCTGCTGATCATTGACGGCTTGTCACTTTTAATGAAAAAGTATCCCATGACCTTAGAGATGAAGATTATCAGAGAGTAAACAGTGAATTTTAATTACAGGCACGAAGTTAAATTATGTTTACAATTCTTGTGATGTCCATATTTAGTAACAATCAAAAACAAAAGAAAATATTGCAAATGGTTAGACCTATGATGTAATCTAAAGCTAGGGCCAAAATGAATTCATAGCTAGTCAATGGGAGGCAACTCTTTATTTGTACTAATACAACAGTTACGTTTTAAAAGAATTTGTAGAGCTTATAAAATAGCTGCATTGAATTTAAACTTTTTCATTCATGAAGCCTCGTTGGAAAACTTAATATCATTGGCATCGGGTCATCCTAATGAATCAAAATGCTAACCAAGAATCATCACCAAGGTAATACAAATTCTGATGCCTGTGCCTCCAGGAACCAGCCTCCATTAACCAACCTTCACCCCCATTATCAAGATATCAGTAACTATCACCAGTATAAAATATTCAACCTTCAGTCATACACTTCTTCTGAACTCTTTAGGACGATACTAAATAATATTGAGTATGAGTTATTTCTATAGCCAGGGCAACAATTCTTGATGGATTTTGACGAAACTTGGCATGAGTGTTTGTTATCAACCAAGGATAAACCCTATTGAAAATCAGAAAAATCAAAAAATATTTACTATGAGTTATTGCCCTTGTTATTGAAAACGCATTCAATTTTTAACTCTTAAACACTAAATAGCATGATTCTTGCTGGATTTTGACAAAACTTGGTTTTATTATTCAATCCTGCGCTGAAGATTGAATATTTGCCTTTTCACGAGCTAAAAATTGAACACGTTTTCAAGAACAAGGGCAATAACTCGTATTCGATATTAATCAGTATTGCCCCAAAGAGTTCAAAAGAAGTGTATGACAGAAGGTTGGATATTTCATACTGGTGATTGTTACTGTACTGCCAAATATTTTTATTCAAAATCAAAGCTGCCAGTGGGTGTATATTACATTGCCTGGCAAGCTATCTTTTAATTATTGCTGTGGAATTTTCCTGACATTTCTTGCCATATTTCATGAAAAGACTTAGTCTAAGAAGTTAATTTGAATATAAAATTAATATTTGCATTGAATATAATGGTTTAAAATTTGCAGAACTATCTTTGTCCAGTTGTAATTGTAATTTTTATACGCCCACACGTAAGATGGGCGTATATTGTAATCACCCCATCGGTCCGTCCGTTCACATTTGGCTTGTGCTCACTCTACAGGCTACAGTTCTTTATGGATTCTTTTGATTTTTATTTTGTATGTCAATGTTGTTATGAAGATGATCCCTATTGATTTTCGTGATGATCGGATAATTTTTCACCGAAATATCGTGTCTGACTTGACGTTTTACTCTATTAGCTATATTGTGCAACTCGTGCTCACTCTACAGGCTACAATTGTTTACAGATTCTTTTGATTTTTATTTTGTATGTCAATGTCATTATGAAGATGATCCCTATCGATTTTCGCGATGATCGGATAATATTTCACCGAAATATCGTGTCTGACTTGACATTTCACTCTATTAGCTATATTATGCAACCCTGTAGTCACTAAAGACTGTTTAATCATTTCTGACAGCTGCCAGTGGGCGTATGTTACCTTGCCTGGCAAGCTATCTTATTAGTTGTAGAAAATCATAATAAATTTCTTGGACCACTCAAAACAAAGTGTCCAATGAGCATAATTCTGGCACATCAGACAGCCACTTGTAAGGAAGTAACAAAACCTAAGAGGTGGAATAAAAAGCTTTATTTAAAATATACATCTATGAAAGTAAAAATAACAGCAAAGAGTAAATATTCTTAGACAAAATAACTGGTAGTTCCCTTATTTCATTATTACTTACTTTTACTTTGTTTCCATTCCTCAACTTCCGGGAATCTGATCATGGGACTTCTGTCCGCCATTTTGTGTTTGGATGCCATTGAAGTGTAATAAATATATAGTTGAAACATTACAGTAATTATTAAGTTTAACATGGTAGCAGAGCGAAATGAAAGAGAATGTCGGCAGGTAACAGAAATAGCTATAAGAATCCATCATATTTTGGACCTGATACGGTGTATGACACGTGGAAAAATGAGTTAGAAATATGGCGTCGGGTCACCGACCTGGACGCAGACAAGCAAGCATTGGCCATCACATTGTCGCTGACTGGAAGAGCGAGGGAGAGGGCTGTCCAAATACCAGCTGATTATTTGGATTCAGAACGTGGCGTTGATATTCTAATTGCCAAATTAGATGATGTTTTCAAGAAAGAAACGAAAGATGCCACATATGAGGCTTATTTAAGTTTTGAAAATTTTAGAAAGACAGACGACATGTCAATTGAAACCTACGTTATTGAATTTGAAAGACTGAATACCAGACTGGTTAGATACGGAATGGAGTTACCTGATGCTGTGTTGGCATTCAAGCTCCTTGACAATGCTTGTCTCTCCACACAGGAACGTCAAATGTCATTGACTGCTGCTGCAGATTTAACATATTCTGACATGAAATCAGCTTTAAAGCGGATATTTGGAGCCAAAATTCCAGATGTTCCTACATCTAGTGTGAAATTGGAAGTAAATGCAACAGCAAGCTCAAGACGGTTTATAAGAGGAAAATATCAGACTTCTGAGAGCAGAAATGATCAGACACTTGAAGATCCAGTTAAAGGAACTAACCCATTAAACAGATTTGGCAAGCGTTCAAGATGTGCTATTTGTCAGTCTACATACCATTGGGCGAAAGACTGTCAACATAAAAAGGAATCAGTCAATATTGCTACGAATAAAGATGAAGACACTGATGATTGGTGTAATATTACATTATTAGTTGACAACAAACAAAAATCTCAGTTACAGTTTGTGTTCGATGAAGAACAATTAGACATCTTTGTAGTGGAATCAAGTGGAGCAGGTGTATTAGATACAGCATGCACAAAAACAGTTTGTGGTTGTCAATGGTATAATGATTATTTATCAAGATTTCACCCAAATTTAGTGAAATTAATACAGACTTTTCCAAGTGATAGGACCTTCAGATTTGGTGATGGTGTCTCAGTGAGATCTTTGAAAATGGTAAAAATTCCAATTGTCATGGGAAGACAAAGGTGCATGTTGGAGGTTGAAGTTGTGGATACTAACATTCCTCTGTTATTGAGTAGATCATCCTTAAAGAAAGCAGATGCAAGTCTTGATTTAAAAAATGACAGTGCTACAATGTTTGGACATAATGTCAGGCTAGATTTCACAGCCAGTGGACATTACTGTGTTGATTTATTGCCTTGTGTTAATGATGAACAATTTCATGATGTTTTGTTTAATTTTGATGAATTAACTACTAAAGAGAAACAAAAGACATTAATTAAACTTCACAGACAGTTTGGTCATGCATCTTATGATCGACTTCATAAACTTTTAGTTGCATCAGGAATTTATGATAAGAAGTTGTTTGGAGTATTGGAAAGAATGATAGCTGACCCTGATCAATAATCATGGTTACAGTCCCTACCAGTCCCAATCTTCCTAGTGTGCTGCAAGATAGTTTACCAGCATTAGATGGATCTTCAACCAGTAGAACTGTTGCTGAACATTTGTCAACCCTTCACAAAGCTAGAACAGAATTTACTAGAGCAGAGTGTTCTGATCGGATCAGACGTGCTTTAAAAAGTAATGTTAGAACATTTAATGACACTGTTTTTAATTCTGGTGACAAGGTTTTTTATAAACGTCCAGATAGTGATAAATGGAAGGGCCCAGGTATCGTCATTGGCATCGATAGTTCTGTTGTTTTTGTACGCCATGGAGGAAGTTGTGTTCGAGTTCATAAAAGTAGAGTCATCAAACAGCATGAAAATGATACAGTGAGCAATGATCAAAATATTGATACTGAGGATGATGTTACAGTTGATAAGAAACTTGATAATGAGTCTGAAAATGAAACTTCATCTGACAATCAGGATAATGATGATCATCATGCAGTTCATAATGATAATCATCAACCTCTGAAACTTAAAGCTGGAATGTTGATGTCATTTAATGAAAAGGGTAGTCAGGTTACTAAAAAGGTTAGAATTATGAGTCGTGCCGGAAAAGCTACTGGAAAACATAAAGATTGGTATAACACAGAGATTTTGGAACCCGTGGGTGATAGTGGATCAAGAGCCTTTGATTTATCTGAAGTGGAAAATCTTAAAGAACTTGATAATTTAGATGATGAAAATGTTATGGTGCTGGATAATTTTTCTATACACAAGGCCAAGGAAAAGGAATTGCAAAATTGGAAAGATCATGATGTTTATAAAGAAACAGTAGATAAGGGACAAAAGTGTGTATCCACAAGGTGGATTGTTACAACAAAAGAAACATCTGATGGTTTTATTCCTAAGGCTCGTTTAGTAGCTCGTGGGTTTGAGGAAATAACTGATAATTTGTCTAAAGATTCACCCACCTGCTCTAAAGAGGCTTTTAGAATAACCTTAGCTATCATGGCTTTAAAAGGATGGACACCCAATTCAATGGATATAAAAACTGCATTCTTACAAGGACAATCTCTTAAACGAGATGTTTATATTAAGCCACCACCTGAAGCCAATTGTAATGGTATTTTATGGCATCTTCAAAAATGCGTTTATGGTTTGAGTGATGCTTCCTTGCATTGGTATCAAAAGGTTAAAAGTGTCATGAGCAATCTTGGTGCAAAAGTTTCAAAATCGGATCCTGCTGTATTTTATTGGCATGATGATAAAGGAAATTTGATGGGTATTTTAGCAAGCCATGTTGATGATTTTTTATGGGGTGGCACAAAACAATTTTATGATATTATATGTAAGATTCGAGATCTTTTATCTGTTGGCAAAAAAGAGAGGCTTTAAGATATTTAGGTATTGAGTTATTTTGTGAAAGTAATGATATCATTTTGCATCAAAAACAGTATGCTGAGAGTATTGTACCAATTAAAATTGATAAGATCAGAGCTATGCAAAAACAAGCAGATTTGTTAAAAGGTGAAATGGATTTATTAAGGTCTAAAATTGGTCAAATTTTATGGATAGCTAGACAAAGTAGACCTGACATTCTCTATGATGCATGTGTCTTAGCTTCCAATCTTAAATATGCTAAGGTCAGTGATATTCTGTATGCTAACAAGATAATTAAGAAAATTAAGTCAGATAATTTGATGTTAAAATTTAAACATTTAGGACATGGTCCAAAAGCATTAGTTGTATATTCAGATGCTTCTCTTGGAAATTTAAGCAATGGGGGTACTCAAGGTGGACATATCATTTTTCTAAAAGGAGACGGGGGAGAAATTTCTCCTATTTGTTGGTCATCTAAACGAATTAGAAGAATAGTACGTAGTACTCTGTCTGGAGAAGCATTAGCAATGTCTGATGGCATTGACAGAGCAGTATTCATCTCAAATATGTTTTTAGAATTAATTGGTGAAAAACTACCTTTAATCTGTGTAACTGATAATAAATCCTTGTATGATGCTATTCATTCAACTAAACCTGTTTCTGAAAAACGCATTCGTCCTGAAATATCAGGTATAAAAAAATGATAGATAATTATGTTGTAAAAGAAATCATTTGGTCTGAGACAAGTAAACAGTTAGCTGACTGTTTAACAAAGAAAGGGGCATCTTCATTATTATTGTTAAAAACTCTGGAGCAAGGGCATCTTGATTTGTAGTAATTAAAAACTTTGGCTTCTTAAAAATTTATGTTGTACAGTGATAAAAAACAACTAGTTTTATCTTTTTTTTTATTTTGCTTAATACAGTGGAGATTGTTAACCTCTGTTATTCATTTACTTAATGCAAACAAACCTTACTTTTACTTTGTTTCCATTCCTCAACTTCCGGGAATCTGATCATGGGACTTCTGTCCGCCATTTTGTGTTTGGATGCCATTGAAGTGTAATAAATATATAGTTGAAACATTAGAGTAATTATTAAGTTTAACACAAACACATGGATTTGAGGGCTCAAATTTCAACGGTGGGCTATGAACACTGTTTTTGATTAGCATAGCAAATAGAATTCATTTCTGAGACGAAGGTATGATTGGTGAAACAGAGGGAGAATCTGTCCCTTTAATAACATTCTTTAACAAGAATTATTATATAAAACTAGTAACGAAACAATTGACTTGGTATTTTCTTCCAAAATTTTGCTTTCACGGATCTATGTGGATGCTTTTTTCAGATTTAGTTTACTCAGTAGAAGGTGCTTATAATTTACTGCTACCTGATTTTTGCATTTCTTCTTTTAATGGATGTAAACTAAACTTGTATTAAAATTGATAAGGGTCTAGTAAAAGCCTAGTATTACTTGATGACTTTAAATACAGTTTTGTATAAATAGTTTACCACCTTCAAGGAAAAGTTTAAAAAGGAAATGCAATTAATATTTAATAATATTTCCTTTACACTTTCTTTTATTTTATTTAGTCTGTCCTTGTCCTAAAAATTTGGAAGACTACCCTTTTCTGTAACTACTGATTAAGCTATGTAATTCTCTTAAAATATAAAGCAATATTGCCATATTGATCATGATTATACTATTTTTTACATGGAGTCATAACATATATAATTGAGTAACAACCGTACAAGGAAAAGTTCATGACAGTATTCATACAAATAGGATTTTAGCTAATTGTACTGTCTTGGGCCATACTCATAATAGTACAATAATAAATATAACTTGACAGAGTCTCATTAAAAGCTTGCAATTTGTGCACCTATTGATTATAGTAAACCCAAACGTTTTTTTATATCTAGCTCATAATTAGCTCACAAGGCTTCTTTCAAGGGAGTTAATTCATGCATCATGTTTGAAAACTGATCATCTACAAATGTTAAGAGAGTATGTCACAGGCTTAAATATATTTGAATATTTCAAAAAGGATATATATTGGTACTACTAGAAATATAAGACAACCATTAATGATATAAGTAAAACATTACGATGTTGACCTTCCTTACAATATGTTTAAATTCAAACATACCTATTAATGAGAGATGTTTCATAAAATTTATAGAACTGGCATAAACACAATGGAATGGAATGGAATGAATAAAGTGCAGGAAATTACAAAATAGCACTAGATATACAACAGAATAAGGTTCAAATATATACAAGAATATATAAACTCTATAATATATTAATATGTGTAAAAACAAAGTAATTTAAAGACTTACACAATTCGAAACAAAGTAGCAATAAGAAAATGTACACTACCAGTTCAAAATGACAAGAATTTGGAAATAAAATAGTGTGGAAAAAAACATAAACGAATATGAGCTGAAATTAAGTTCTATCAATTTGTAAAGCAATTATTTAAACAACAAATCCCCGCAAATACAGATGTAAATACAGGTAAAACAGCTTACAAAATAGCACTACTATCATGATGAATGACTATTAATGAGAAATGAACAATAATATATGAAAGGATATGAATACGCATATACAAAGTGACAAAATAGCACTGATATATATATATATGTATATATATACAAATGACTTTAAAAAAAGGTCATTTTAAAAACAATTCACAAAATATTTTAATTAAATGGCTTTTATCAAAATGTGTAAATTATTGAAATGTCGAAGATATTTACACCTGTGCATAGATATCTTTTTCCAATTAAACATAAATATAAATCTCATGTCAACAAGTCGATGCTTCCCTTCTCTCCAAGACTTGTTTATCAAATAAATAATGAAAAGCACCAAAGAAGTTTGTGAGACAGTAATCATGGACGCCACCAGACAGGAAAGGAGCCTTGAGATCGATTAGTAAGTTAACTGTTGCATAAAGACCTGTGAATAAATCACAATCTAGATCAAGAATTAAGGCTGTAGTGATAGTTAACATGTCATCACAGCATGACGACTCACCATCACTAATCTTCACCAGTTGATTATTCATAAACCTGAATGACTTTGTCAACCATCGTAATTTCTCCAGCAAGGGCTTGGCTGCTATTGCTTCTTTGATAAATTCCACAGCAGGACTTAACAGTTTTTCTAATGCTTCTTTATAACACTCTTCTACAGTTTTTGATGCATGTGTGTCACCCACATGAAGCACTTGTTCACTCTCTGTATAAGTTGCCATTGAATCAAAACTCATAGATCTGGGTTTATTTGCAAATGAATGTGGATCTAAAACATTGTGAATCACATCTGGAACAGATTCACATTCTTTATCTGCCAGTGAATAAAGCTGCTCTAGTGTACACTTTGAAATTTCCAGACTACTCACAGATTTGCGACTGGAAGACTCAACGTCAGAATTCGAGCGTCCCAAACTTGCTTCAGAAGATGAAACAGAACTATTATCGATATCCATCAAATCTTCAAAACTTTGTCGCATCAACATCTTGAAAAATTTATCATCAATTATAAATTCTGAGAGGGAAAGTTTGACCAAAGATTTGTAAAGTGTATGACAAGGTTTCTTATAAACAGCGGTGTAGAGCTCGAACATTTTTTTCATCACCTTATCACAAAGTATAGCTTCATAGCTTATCCATAATTTATTAAAATGTCTTTCTTCTATTTCTGGAATGGTTGTCAAAAATAAATTACACATTTTTTCGATGCTGTTACGGAAATCCTGGCCAATGTCACACATGGAACGTTTGAGCGAACTAGTTGATAAGTCTGCCAATTCATCACTCACAGATTGGGATAATGTTCTAGTACTTCGCTTGGTTCTGGAAGATTCTCCAACAACTCTTAGTAATGTTGTGTCAACCTCTTTCTCTAATGTTAAAAAATGTTCATCAACACTGGAATCAAAAACATGTGGTGGGTCAGTATTACTTTCACTGCCTGCAGATATTGGCAAGGTTTGAGCTTCAGGGATGGAAGTTAAAGAGGAAACCAAATCATTTTGGTCATTCACATAAGATGATCTTGTTAATGTAAGTGTGTCCTCCACAAGAAGTGATGAGATTCTCGAATGACCACGTAAATCATCACCAAACTCAATCCTAATTCCAAACTGTTTCATCTCACTCAAAGCTGCATTTGTTTTCTCTATCAGTAGAGCTACAGTTTGTCGATGGATCAGGTTTATTTCGCCATCAGGAGTCCATAAGGCATTTTTAATCTTATCGTCTATAGTCATCCAAGATTCTGGTCTTAAAATTCCACCTAACACATCAAGAGAGTATTCACTACCATCAGTAATGGAGGTTCTTGGATGACCCGAAGTTGGACTCAATCCCCCTCTTTCCAATTCTTTCAGAGAATTCTTAATTGCCTCTCTCACTGTAGTTATTTTCAGTTTTTTTAACACAAGTTTATGAAGCTCTTCCTTTTGCTCTTGCAGTCTGATAGAAAGTTCTTTATAAATGTCATGAAACACATTTTGTTTAATCTTCACACTCTTCTTCAACCTTTTCAATTTATCTGGACGTGATGTCACATTCTTAATATTCTCCCGCACAGTTTGTAGCTTTTCAAGTCTATAGAATGCCCTATCTCTATCTAGGCGGTATTGCCTCAACTCTGAAGTCACAGAATCTGTATCATGGATTTTATTAATGTGCTGCTGAACCTGTAGAAGCTGGGAATCAAGACCTAAAATCTCTTTTTCTATATGTAAGAGGAAAAAAGACAGAAACTCCTTATTGCAACATCTGACATGAGATTCTACATGCATGCTTTCCGTTCGTATAAGTCTGTGTCGTTGCTTTTCTAAATTGTTTGTAGATAAATCCACAGATTTTCCTTTATCAACAATTTCTTTTTCAGTCAATTCAAGTAAAGAATTTACATGATCTGCTGCCTTATTAAGTCTTGGTATGTCTTGAATAGAAAAACGTAAAGAGGGCAAAATGTAGCAATGAATGATTCGCACCACTTCACACATGAACTTTTGCTTGTTTATGTTTCCAGCATAAATGAGGTCCATAACTTCAATGGCATGATCAGTCAATTCATCTACAATTGGGTCATAATCATATATGTCAATTTCTTCAAAAAGGCGTTGTCCATTTGGTGGGCAGCCTTCAAGAAGTGTATCAGTATGTAAGTAGAATGGTTCAATATCAGTTCGATACCACACAATGTCACGTTTATCACAATCTATATAAATAGTTGACACCATGTATGTTTTAAACCACAAGACTGATTCAATAAACTGGAATGATTCTCCTTCATTTTGAATGTCAGATAAAACTCTGCCATTAACAGTTGGTTTATGGGCGTCTTCGAATCGGACATTTTCCACCGTCCGAATACTGCTTCCTTTCTTCAATATGATCAACATTTTCAAAAAGATGCAGGACGTAAAAAAGGGCAAAGTTCCGTCTGACTCATATTATTTACTTATGCGTTTCTAAACTTTGTTTATTCAGGAAGTCGGGTACAAAAACTGAACAGGAAATGAGCAATAGGAACTGGAAGTCAGAGTGAGTCTGGTAGATCGAGAAATTTTACGAGAATAATGCGATGGAACGTTTCGTACTAGGCCTAATAGCAACAATCAAATACTTTCATTCTTTTCATTTAATTAATGTTAAATCTTATTATTTATATACTTCATTATTGAATTAATCTTCTTGCTTCACAACCTAAGATTTGTATAATTACAATTTCTTCACGGTAATTTGTCCGCTTACACCAGGTCTGTGTACGAAACGCCCCACTCTGTAAGTATCGAACAGTTTTCAATATTGCTTGTATCGGTAACTTGAAAACTTGGATATAAACTGTATATGACAAGGATCACGATTCTTAACGTTGAGACTGTCACTGTCTAATTGACAGTTCTATTAATATTATCTTCTTATAATCTGCAAGTTCAATAAGCCATGCCCTTCCACGACTCCCGAAACGAGACTTGCCCGGGTTTGAAAAATCATTTACAATTTATTCTATACTGACTTATAGACCTACCCTAAAAACTTTGAAGTGGCTGTTTTCAAATATTTTCTATTATCTTTTCAGATTACCTAATAAATGTAGAGTATAAAAATAGTTTAATCATATGTTCTGAAAATATTTATAATGGCTCAGTTAAGTTCCACAGTAAGAAGACTTGTTCCTGTATTAGCTTCCTATGGCAGCTTATTGAAGGGAAGACAATTAACTATATTATCCAGAACACAATTAATTTATGTGAACCAGCATATTAGTTTCCAACCCCAAACTTTACATGCTGTTGTAACTTTTCGAAATTATGGGAGTAAGAAGTCTAAAAAAGACAAGGGCAAAAAGGTTGAGATGTTAAAAGATGAAGAAATTGATGGTATTATTGATAAAGATAAACTGGAAGAGGATATTAAATTTTATGTTCATAAACTAAAAGAAAAATTCATGCGAGAATTATCATTACAAATAACTCCTATAAATTTAGACCATATAATGATTGACACAAAAGAAGGGAAGTTCCATTTGAATGATATAGCGATAGTCAGTTTGAAAGATCCCAAACTCATTCTCATTGATGTTAGCTCGTATCCCAAATATGTGAAAAATGTTCGAGATTCTTTAATAAAATCTGCCTTTAATCTTGATGCACAAATATCAGGCACCACACTTCATTTACCAATACCAACAGTCACCTTGGAACGAAGACAAAATCTGATTAAAGTGGCTACAAGTATGGCAGAAAAGTGTAAAGCTGATATCAGAAATGTTCAAAGTAAATATAGGAAGAAAGTTCAGTCTGCCAAAGCCCAGTATAGTAAAGATTTTTTATTTAAAATAGACAACATGATAAATGGAATAATTAAAGAATACACAGAAATAGTAGATCAGATGAGAGACCATAAACATCAAGAATTACAAGAAGAAAGTGTGGACATATTTTCATAACTAAGTCTAACCTTGCTGTGTTAACTTTCCTTTCAAGACCAAGTAGTAGTACAATATACTTGAATATTTCAAAATTTTTTTATACATTGTCATGAAAGGAGTTATGAAGTTTTTAGTTAATTGCATGTCCTTTTCAACAAATAATTAAAAAAAAAAATGGTGCTAGTGAAATCTTGTCACTACCTCTTTTTGGTTAAATTGCTATAGGTGTAGAGAGTAACTTATAAACTGTCAATAATAACTACAGAATTTACCAAGTGTTGTATAAGATAATTACCAGTCATGTCTGGCTTATGATAATTAAATCATGTTAAACATGTCAACTATAGTGCTTGAATCTGACTCTACTGTCGATGCTGAATTCAAAATGGGCAATTCTGTGTAGGCATCATAGTTACAAGTCTCTCATAGAGCGTGTGGGAGAACTCTCCCACGAACGTTTTAAAAAAAATGAATTGAATTGGTGCATATCGAAACATATTTTGGGACTTAAAGGTATAATAATCATGTGGGGGTACAAACCATCGTGCAAACCATTTTCCTTGGGGGCACCGCCACTGGGGAATAGGAAGAGGAGATATTTCGTGTATTATCAAAATATTTCATTTTCACAGGAAAATCCCGTGACCTAAAATGATCTGACCACTGAAAACTGCCAATATGCTAGTTGAAAACATTAATGCAGCTTTCTCACCGAAAGCGATCTCCTGACAGCGATCACCAGAATTCAATTTCGTTTCGCTGAAGCGGTGCAAAACGCGACACACTGGCAGCGCTCTTACCCAGTGTAAACTATTGCGCTCTCAACAAAATGAACGAGCCAACGATCAAGATGCCAAACGAATACAATGGTAGAATTCAGTTTCTATTGTACTTTATTATTGTCTTCTTTCTAAGAATGCAGCCGAATGGGCGTGTCCGACTTATATATCTGTACCAAGAGAAGTTGCTCTGGCCTTGACCATACCACCCCTCGATTATACACGTGAATCAATAGCAGGTTTTCCCTATGTAGAATGCCTGAAATGTACGTTGTGTTTATACTTCATATGTGCTGTTGTATAACAGTTGATGTCGGTTTGAAAAGGGGTTTCTGCAAAGTTTCAGTGTTTCAAAACAATAAAAAGATATTTATTTGGAGGCTAACTTATTTATTCCGATAAATAGATTGTTCCTCAAAATAATATTAAATAATGAAAAAATTTTAACTTATAGGATTTAACTGTTAAAATTTGTGTATTCTGATGTCTCCCAGAGGATGAAGGGAATGGGGTGATTTAGATGTCTGAAACCTGTCAAGTTTACATTATATTACAGTAAATAACGTTTACACAGAAACAGCAACTCATTATTTACACGCATACCGAGTAAAGCGATAGATAATTGAACTTTATGTAGATGTATCACAATTTGGGCATTTGGCTGTTTTGAAAACTTCATTGGTCACTTCTCATATTTTCCCGCCATTGAAAAGCGAACAAAGAATTTGTATGTATAGAAGAAACAACTGCTGGGTACATGGCTATTATAATACAGCTATATAAAATTGGATTATTTACGCAGACGACAATCAAAATACATTAATAATACAATTAAAGTGAAATAAAATCGTATCTTTGGGAGAAACATTAGCTCTGCTACAATATACTGTTGACAGACATTTCGGAAAATTGCAATTATACAAAAAGGTAAGACTTGAAGTGTATTCTAGCCACAGAAAACCGCAATGCTATTTTCAGAAAAGTCATATCAAAATGCTTCCTATTTCTATAAAGTCTTTCACGGCATAGGTCGAATTTATACCATCGAAGTTTTCAACCCCGTTTCAACCTGTCAGTGATGCATGTTAGAGGGAAGTTGTTCGGGTGGGACAATAAACCGAGGCTCCGTGTGCTACAGGCTGTGTACGTTAAGATCCCTCGACATATGGAAATGATTTGTTTTTACCCCAGAATGTAGCAGTGTAGGTTTTTTCAGTACGTTTTGTGGCAAAAGCAGAGATTCAATAGTTATCCAATCTTAATATATCAATGTCAATTATGGCTAGCGTAATTCCTACTACCCGTCCAATGTTAATGGTTACATTATAAAAGTTACAGACAACGAAAGGTAAAACTCGAGTGTTTTAAATCCTTTTTTAGCATGTAAAAGGCTTTACAGCCTTCAACAGCATGGACATTTTTTTCAATTTCCTAATAATTCCTTGTTTACTTTCAGCAACTCAAAAGACAAACAGTAAAGATGAAATTCAATGAAACACCATTTGGCATTCCTATCATTATACCGCTTGGCCCACTGGAACCATTATTTAAAAAAGCAAACAAACTTTTTGCTGCCAGTTTCAACTTCCAGAGAGAGTGCAGAGTGTCCAACTGTGCTTCTTTTGTAAATGTGATTTTAAGGCGATGTCTTGGTAGTATCGGATTTGAAACAAATGGTTTGCTTGAACATGGTCGAATTCAACTTTAAGGTGGAATCGAAATCGCGCATGTATGGTTAGATATAGCAGGGTATATCATTGATAATACTTATGTTGAAGATATACCTCTAGAAATGTACTTTGAAATGAAAAAATCAGCAAATTATATACCATTAACTAATACACATGAGTTATTGAGTTGTTTGGGTGATGAAGAAACACGCGCAAAGGGAATACCAGACCATGACTATGAAGCCTTTGAATGGTCCTTAAAGACTTCAAACGAGCAAAAAGTAATGGCTCTCTCTGTCAACAAGCTCCAACTGTTGGCCTATAATGCTAAAATGATGAAATTTATGTATGAAACTTTTGATGTTGAGTTACCAGAAATAAGGAAGGAGAAAGTCTGTTGGAATTGTGATCAAATATCGGAATCTCTGAAATCATGTTCTAAATGTAAGGTCGCTCAATATTGCAGTAGAAATTGTCAGAAAACTGATTGGGTTAAAATTCATAAACGAGTTTATCTTCCACCAAATTCATACTAAAAATGTGTTGATGGTTGGCCTTCGGTCAATCATGTAAAGCAGTCAAGTATAAAAAAGTGCATTGTGCAGTGTGTGACTTTGTTACAATACAATTCTATCCTCAACTACAGTATTGTTAGCAACATTTCCTTGTAACTTGTCTTGATTCATCATGTCACAGTGTTATCATTAATTTGATTAAATAACATTAACAATCATTATATTATGAACTTCATATCAAACTTTTCAATAACTAATTAAATGACTGCATTAAATACAAGTCAACTGATACTGAAATAGTGTGTAAATTGTTTTTGAAATTGTGTTTCAAGTTATATAAGATATAGTACATTTGATCACTAATTACAGGCAAGAAAAGATACAGAGGTCAATTACAATAAAACAATTTAGTTGTAGCCTGTACAGTTTTCAATCACTTTTTATCTTAACCCAAAATAAATTAGCTTGTTCATGACTTTGTTGAGGGATGTGCACAAATATCTTGGCTAAGGTATACAATAAATTCATTTTCAAACAAGGATTACAGTCGAGGTATATGTGAGGCTAGAATAGAAGGGATGTATAAGGGGTCGATTAAAGGTTCAACACCACCCTTTTTATGTTTCTGATGTGTTTTTATATGTTCACTAGCTTCTACTGGGTCATAAGATCTTTTACTACAGCAATCACATTTGATATAGAGTATTTTCCCTGAATGACAAATACGGACATGTTTTACAAGCTGTCTTCCTGTAGCATGTTCTTTACCACACACTCCACAAGTAAAGTGTTCATACTTTTTATGGGTTAACATATGGTTTTTGAGATTGGCTGGAGTATGAAAAACCTGACCACAAGCACCACAATCAAACAAACCATCTCTTTGATGTATGTAGATGTGTTTCATGACATTTTTGGTTAATGATTTCCCACATATAGGACAGTCATATACAGCTTTATTATGCACTTTCATATGGCCCACTAAATTACCTTTGGCTACAAATGCTTTCCCACACACATGACAAGTATGAGGTTTTTCTCCAGTATGAAGTTTCATGTGTGCTTTTAAGTTTGAATTATATCTGAATTTCTTGTGACACATTCCACACTCGAAAGGAAAAATATCTCGATGGATTTTCTGATGCTGTGCAACATCTCCACTCCTTAAGAAATGTTTCCCACAAATATGGCACTGAAAAGGTTTTTCATTTGAATGAACTTTCATATGATTAGCAAGATTTCGTTTATTTTTTATTTGTTTTCCACAAATATGACATTCACAAGTTGTTGTTTGCAGATGTGATTGAAGGTGATTAGTAAGTGATTCTTTATGAAGGTATGATTTGCCACAAGTGCCACATTCATAGGCTTTCCCATTGTGAATTTCTAAATGAACTGTTAAACGACTTCGATATTGAAATAATTTACCACAAACTTCACATTTGAAACGTTTCCCATTTTTTCTTGCATCATCACCTAAACTATAATGGATGTTGTCAAAATCCTTATGACTGTGGCTTTCCAAATGAACGGCCAAGCGACTACGATAGTGAAACCATTTACTACAAATCTTACACTGAAATCGTTTACTACTTTCATTTTTCTTTGGCTTTTCGACTGATACATGATCGTTGAAGTGTCTGGCTTCCATATTCAATCCGAACTAAAATGAGAAATCTTCAATTAGACATTAGTTATCCTTTGTTCCAATCTATGCATCAGACATGCACATATCATAGACATAGTGTTAGCACAAAACTTATACAATGGCTTTCTTTGGAACACGTAAAACCATAGGCCTAGGCCTATACTGTCTTTCCTGATGCACCATAGTCAATATAAAAGCAATACACACATTTGATGTCAAATCAGGAACAAACAATGAAATATCAAGACAATTCAGCTTGAAGCTGTGTCAAGAAACTCTTAGAATTAATACCATGATAACTGAAACCTTTATCATTATCAAAAAAAAGTTAGTGAGGTCAGCTGAAGCTGTCCATGTCAGTATTTTAAAATCCATATCTTGCACAGCATGTACACTCTTTTGACAAAGTCAAGTTTTTGGACTATGCAGTCTGTAATATCAAATGCACTTTGCAATTGCAGTGCCAGTTGCTTTTCAAGTTGGTCACTAAAGATATTATCACATAACAATTAACAAGTGCTATGTATTTCTTAATGTTTACATCCATAAAAAAGGGGAAAAAAATCTCGAATTGATTATTATAATGGTATTGATTTTGCTTTTGTCTCGAGGAAATGGACTTCACGGGATTAATTTGACGAGACGTTTCGTATCATTCTTAGAGATATTTCGTTACTTATTCATAATTCGAACGTGTGCACCTGCCAAAGACTTTTTTTTTTATCTTTAATAATTTTTGGTTCTGGAATTTAAATTTTGTGTAATGGATATTCTTGCAAGTAGGTTAATAACAGAACCTTTACATTTAGCACATCTGCAAGACATTGGTTCTTTTGATATTAGTGTGGAAATAGAGTGAGCAAAATTTTCTTTATACTTTATATAGATTTGCTGTGGACTCCTTGTTTATCATGACATTATTTTTTGTGCAGAACCTCAATTAATATAATAATAACTCTGTTTTAATTATTTATTATAATCCCTACATAAGGACCCAGCCAAACCGGATTCACATGCCAATACACTTTTCTCCCACTTGGAAATTTGGGGAAAACTGAAATAAAAACAAAAAGTTGATACATAGACAAATTTATTACCTTGAATTATCTATTAAACATGCACAATCAAATTAGAATTACTAGTTCTGGGTGATCTGTATTTAAAATATTGAATATTGTACATTCTTAACATGACTGACAGGCCTACCATCAACATGCATAAGCATACCAAGTTTCATCACGATCAGGCAAAAGTTGAAAGTTTTGCCTTAAGATTCAAAAATTTGATTCATGCGAATACATTGAAGGACCATACCTCAAAAAATGGTGCATTTTTAAATATTGATGATTCAAATATTCAAATTGCAAGTATACAATATACATACTAAATTTCATCAAGATGCAATAAAAACTCTAGTCTGTAATGCATCAGCAAAAAATTATGGACTTAAGGGCTGACAGACAGACAGGAGCAATAATGTTTATAGTACTTGACACAAGAGTTAAGATTTTTGTGCACCTATTTCATTTAAGGTTTATCATAGGTTTTTCCACAAATATGACATAGATTTTTTGTACCCTCAATATGTATAGCAATATGTATCCTATAATGATATTGTTTCTCAAATACTTTACAACAAATTCCACAAACATACCCATTTTCATTATGATATAGAACTTCATCAGAGTCATTGTTTGTAGCATCACTAAGCTTGATCCCTTTACGTTTCAAAAAGCGAAAAAACCATCCATTACTTTCTCGAAAATCTTTCAATTTTAATTCCTGTGCTATTATCCTGGCCTTGGAACGTAGTTGATGTTCAGTCACCCCACAGCACTCAGATTCATGTTCGAGAGCATATTTACTCAGTTTGTCTTCTAAGTCTACATATTTTCCATTAAAACAACATCTCAATGATTTCCTATTTCCATCTGTTTTTTCCAGAACTTGACGTGTTTTCTGCCATATACCCACACTGGATCTATTGATACCATATTTCTCCACTGCTGCTTTGAATCCATACTCGTCTACATATTTCACCACTTCCAATTTAAACTGTGTTGTATAGGATGCTCGGGCATAATCAGCTCTTTTTGTCATGAATCCTTTCAAGTTTTTTCGCCTCACAAAGTTGAAGTACCAACTCAAACTGCCAGTAAAATTAGTAATATTCATTTCGCTGGCAAACTTTTTAGCTTGAAAGATAACATTAGCCTTACGTAACTCATCACTATACTTTACATCTTGGCGTTCAATTATAAAATTCCTCAATCTCTCTTCCAGTTCAGGCCACTGTTCCTTTAACCCCGCTGGTTTATAAGGTACATAATCTTCTTTCTCTAACTCTGATTTTTTCTTTCTCCATTGACGAACATTAGATTCTGTGATACCAAAATGTCTGCTTGCTGCATGGTTTCCCCCTCTCTCCTCTGCAAACTTCACAACCTGTAATTTAAATTCTGTGGTGTAATTTTTTCTACATTCAACTTTAGAGCGATTTGTAATTGTCAGATTATTTCGATGGAGAAATGCACTATACCAAGTAGAAGTTGCTTTGAATTTCTCAAATTTCAATTCCTTTGCAAGGTCTTCTGCCTGTTTAAAAATCCATTGTTTGCAGAGATCTTGTGAATCTCTTCCTTTTCGATCAATTAGCTCCATCAATTTATCATCGACTGCAGCCCATCTCCTGCAACGGCCTCGGAAAGCAGTTTTAGTTCCAGTTGCTCTCTCTAAACTTGTCTTCATTTTTCTCCATTGTCGGACACAACCCTCTGGTATATTGAACTGCCTGCTTGCTGCTCGATTTCCACCCATTTCTTCAGCAAATTTTATTATATCTAGTTTTTTATTTGCAGTGTATGACCTTCGCAATGAATTGCTATGAACTGATGGCAAGGTCTCCTCATCCTTAACACTTTTGGCCTTCTTTTTTCTATGATTTGCTCGTCTAGCTTTCTGGCGTGCAGATCTTCTTACTGCTGCACAATCCACATCTAAAGTATCTAACTTAGTCTTCAGTCTATTGTCACATTTTTCAAGAATGTCTAATACCAATGATTTACACTTTGTTAAATTCTTTATCCCCATCTTCCGGGCTATTTTCTTTGCTTCCTTTATCAGATTATTCTCATTTAATATTAAAGAGGTGTTTGATATGAACGACTCCATTTCTAATAGGAATTTGTGCCACTTGTCATTTTTGGGATCATGGATAAGCTCCTGAGTATCATCATGTATCTCTTCCTCTAAACTGACTTCATCTGCAATGTCTACACCAATTAGACAGTTATCAATTTCTATAACTTCGTACTTAATGTCTTCATTGACAACAATCAGTTCAGGCTTCATCTTATAACAATAGTCAGTAAATTATTATTTTAACGCATTTAAAAATTATCATATTATCCTTTAATATTAAGTTAAGACCCACAGGTATTGAATTTAGATTTAGATACCTGTAAAAGAAGATCGAAAATTTCATGTTCTTAATCGTGCAAAACACTGTTCACAGACAAACCAGTTCTCGTTACTTATGAATAAGTCAGAATAAGTCAAACTCAAATCCTGGTATGGTCAGTTTCATCGGACTACTAAAATTGACCAAATTTTGTGAATCTATCTAAGAGCATGTCTTTGCGTAGCCATGGCCTACAGTTATCACTAAAATTCTGCAATGGTCTATTTTTGTATTATCACATAAGTCATAAGTTATATCATAACACCTAAGCCAAGCGCATTGTAATGCGATACGAACAAAAGTATGTTTACAGGTATGCTTATAATGGGACGATTCGGCCTAGCCTACAGTACGGACATACTCGTCAAATCATTCCCGATTAAGTCGAACTACATTCGAAAGTTCGAATTATTCAACGCGGTTTTGCGGTGTAATTTCCATATCTGGTAAGTACCTTGTAAGTTAAAAAATATTTTTAATTGATCGGGAGACGATTTCTTTAGACTGATAGTTTTAATCTTAATTTTCTGAACCCGATCTGCTACACCATACAATATTATTATGTCATACAATATTACTGTATATGTAAATTATAATGACTATGTAATGAGACTAGCTACAACAGCAGCATTTCAGTCTGTAATAACTATATGGCCTGTTAACAAACGAAGTCCCTGTTTATCCTATACGATTCAAAGCTTATCTCATGCTCAGTATTTTTCTCTTTTTGCTTTCTCTGTGACAAATTCCCTCTAATGTGCATATTCCAATATTGAATAGTAAGCCTGTACTTTAGGCTACAATTGTACAAAGGTCATATCTCTATCTAGCCTATCTATGGCGAGTTTAAACTCTGGGTCTGGAAGTCTGGGTGTGTAGATTATATGGCAGACTTACAAACGGGTTTGGTCGGTTTTTGTCGCAGACTAGAGTCTTGTCAAGTTTCACTGCAGGCACAGGTGATATAAAATCTCCAGTAGGTCGTTTTCCGCTTTGTCGATAATCACAAGCTGATCATGCAATTGAAGTGACAATCGGCGAGAATGATTTGATGTTCAAAATCCTGTCTGCAACACGATTTACTTGACTAGGAAGCATGGGCACATTTGAGATTTTTTTTCTCAAGATATGCATCGGCAACGAATAACCATTTGTGTGCCCTCAGAATTAGGACACCTTTTTCAATTACGTTTGTATGTTTCTACAAAATCATAGCTGGTTACGGGGTGGTTTTCCTGTGATGTTGGTCAAATGGGCGGCATTTAACAAGTGTCTTATCAATCGGATGTGACAATAACCATGGTCATGTATGTAGGCTAAATTCAAGCCAAAAGTTAGCATATTTGCAATGGAATAATGGCATCTTCACAAGGCCAAGCTTTTATAAAATGTGTCTAATACCTTTATTTCTTAGCTTGTATTGCAGTAAATGCAGCAATTTGATTATTGTGTTATTATGTTAGCTCTCAACACATAGTCTGTAAATCATAAGCCTTGTACAGTTTGTATGTCGTGGGCTGCATTTACTAGCATACAATCCAAATTACTGCATTCTGTGTTACAAGTAAAGAACTCCATGAATTATGACAGGGCCTATATAAGATGCAGATAGTAATAGCTTGGTATTGTGAAGATATAATCATTGACATTAGACATGGAAATCAGAGTGGTTGCCTAAAATGAAAGATAAATATGTTTGTATAAATAAGCTTGTACAAAAGTTTGAAAACTGCTTTTGAATCGCAGTTCCAATTGATTGCCTGGCTTGGATTTTGAGATGGCTTCATAATTTTCAATGAATCAATGATTTTTCTTCCAGATATCTGAGCTTTTAGACACCTACTACTACATTTGGATTTTACAATTGCAAATCATGTCTTTGTTAAACAAGAAGTCAGTTTGTGTTATAACTGGTGCAAGTCGTGGTATTGGGGAAGGTCTAGCTATTCAATTTGCCAAATGTATAGCACAAGACAGTGTTCTTATCTTATTGGCTAGAAGTGTACCTGATTTAGAAGTGGTACAAACAAAAGTGTTAGCATTACCAGAATGTAAAAAGAGCAATGTAAAAGTAATTATTAAAAGGTTTGATCAGGGATCTACCAATAAGGAAGATTTTGAATCATTATTTTCAAGTATTTTTAAGGAAAATAACATCTTTGTTAGTGAATTCCAGCAGGGTATTATGATTCATAATGCAGGCACATTAGATGAAACAAAGTTTTGTAAAAACTTGCACTATATATCTAAAACTGGTCAATTTTTTCAAATAAATTTAACAGGGATGATCACATTAAATGCCATTTTTTTGCAAGAATTTTCCAAACTGTCTAAAGTTGTTGTAAATATGTCTTCGTTAGCTGCTGTTATGCCTATTAAAAGTTGGGGACTGTATTGTACTGTAAAATCAGGTCGTGATATGTTCTTTAAGATCTTAGCCATTGAGGACCCATCAATTCGTGTTTTGAATTATGCTCCTGGACCAGTGAAAACCGATATGATGAATATTGTTCAGACACAGTCAGAAGACACAGAAATCCAGGAAACATACCAGAAATTGAATAAGGAGGAGAAACTACTTACTGCAGAAATGACCTGTAGTAAATTCATGGAGATTTTAGAGCTTAACAAATTTGAAAGTGGGGTTCATATTGATTATTATGATGAATATTAAAATCTAGTGGTAGTTTTCTAAAAAAAAAAATAGTATTAAAGTGAAAATCTATTTTAAAATCCATTGCTAGTTTTAGTGAACTTAATTATAGTTCAATATCAATTCATTTACATATTGTAATCTGTACAATTTTTTAGTTTTAAGAATATCCCACTTAAGGAGAAATACAGGTAGATTTCACAGGGACCAATCAAGGATATGTTTTCAAAATTAATAGAAAGATGATCCCCATTTCAGAATATATATATAAATATTTTATTGCATTATTCTATATATAGAAATAGAAATATTAAAACAGAACTTTTAAAGAATGAAAATATTTTATTATTGTATTATTATAGATGTATAGAATAATACAATAATAAAATATTTTCATTCTTTAAATAGTGCTCAATACATCAATTGTAGAGCGATATCGAAATATTAAAACAGAACCTATAAAAAATCTTGCTACTCAGAGTTTCACATTATGCGATCTTCAGACAACTGACTTATTTTCAGCCTGCGTCCCTACTGAAGATGGACATGTAGAACTTATTCTCATATCTACACTTCGAGACGTTTGTTTAAAGAAGTATGTTAAGGGGCATTAATGATGGAAAACATTTCAGTTAAACACAAGTTACAGGTTGTTTTTTCAATGAGTAATTAAATGTAACTCGCTTTGGTTGTTCCATTTTGGTTTTGAACTTTTGAAACATACAGATAATAATATACTTAATGAATTTTTTTCCCTTTAAATAAGTTATTTATACTGTCTAGTCTATGTTGATATTCCTGGTGTCTGTTGATAAGGTTATACTAGTCATAGAAATATAAAGATGATATTATTTTATTATATTTAAATTGTATAATGTGAACATGTTAGCCCTGTCAAGCTATTATGTCAAGCTATTATGAACTTTGCACTTATACCTTGACTGCAATTGCCACCTTTCTTTTATCATGGAAGTTTGAACATTAACAAATACATTCAATCAGAGGCTCTGATAGAAAGTCTGTGAATACAAATATTTTGCTGGCATACAATCCTTTCAAATCGCTGCATTCTGTGATACAAGTGGCTGTTACAGTCAAGGTATAAGTAAGGAGTTCATAATAGCTTGACATTGTAAAGATGCTGTCTGGCATCTATCTACATTAAGCTGATATAGAATAAAACTGAAAAGCTTGTATGAATCTATAACTTACTGATTTAAGAAAAAATAATTTTATGGATACAGACTTCTGTTATTATTTGAACATAACGTTTCATTACACATATAGGTAAGGTTCTCCAGTGATCACCTGAGAACATTACCTTTATGTGTAATGAAACGTGTTCAATAATAAATAGAAGTCTATATCCAAAAAGTTGTTGTTTCTTAATGTGATGTGATACTTCTAAATGTCTTACAAGGATAATGTACTGATAACTACTTACACATTTTGGAAATCTTTTGCAACCAATGCATTGATTATAAATAAGATATATCAGAGGGTATTCATGAGTCAGTAAGTTTCAGGCTATTATAAGAATATCTTTTAATCCTATTTTATAAACATATATATCAAGTGATAACATTTTATCAATTCTGGTAGGCTTACATACAATTTCATTTTAACATGTTGCAAAATCAGGATATTCTGTAATGACCCTGTGACTGGCACCAGATCACAGGATTTGTAGTACAGTGTTGGACACAGAGACATTGTAGAATATCAGGTGATGGAAGTAATGGTAATGAACGGTTAAGCTTTGTTTAGATGCTATGCCAAAACTGGCTTTTGTCATGTTGGAAAATAAAAAAAATCAGCGATCCAAAAGTGGATTGGAGCTACTTAAAACTGACATTAAATCTGTAGACCTAAACGTGCCAATATTCCATCAGTTTATCACATCTGAGGTATATTAATCGGGCTACAGTCTGATCTTCCATTGTACATGTTTTTCTGGTAAATTAGAGGTGAACTGGTGAACTAGATGCCAGATTTATTTCTGATAAGGCCAAGGGATACTGATAGCTGAGATTAACAGTGGATAAAGCAAATATATAACAACTCTATGTATGAAAGATAGCTTCCCAGGCAAGATAAAATACGCCCACTTCCAGCTGTCAGAAATGATTACAAAGTCTTTTGTGGCTTAAAATGGATTTTCAAATAATCTTAAAAATATTTTTAAGTCAAGTCAAAATCTAATAGACAATTCATCTAATTACTACCATTTTCAAAATTCACAGAGATCTCATCAATATATATATATACATACCAAGTTTCATCAAGATCAGATAAAAAAAAAAAGCCTGGCAAGCTATCTTCAATAACAAGGGCAATAACAATTTGTCCGATTTTCTTTAGAGTTCTACTTTGAGTGATTATAAACACTCACACAAAACTTTGTCAAAATCTGTTCAGAAACCAGCTATCTATCGTGGCCACAACAATTATGGACGAACAGACAGACAGACCAGACAGGCTGTATACCACTATATATGGTCATACTAATGTGTGCAATAATATAGAGGACACTCAAACTTTTAAGTTGATCCAAATAATATGGGTAAACATTCAGAAAAATAATCTGCTATAGAAAAACTAAGTAGTTCTAAAGTCCAACATAATTCAAAAGTACCCTTCCTCAGGGACAGACACACATGAAATGTCAGTTGAAGTACACTTTTCTTAATAGTTGCTAATTCCAATATTTTTCTCATAGTAGGAATCCAATACGGCTTGATAAAATGATGATCATTCAATAGCCTAAGCTAATGAAGATGCAATATCCACATTATTTGGATCAACTGAAAATGGACCATACCCACGATAATGTGTGGGCGTATAAAAAGGCAAAATAAGATGCACTCTAAAAAATGTAAGCTTAAACTTAGTGAAATATTGTTTTAGAAAAAAGCCTGTCATTGGTGCCAATATTTTATTATATATACCGGTAGTTAATTTTTGTTAATCTTTTATGGTTGTGAATATACTGATCAATGAATTAATATTATATAATTATATACAATATATTCAAGAGTGTTCCTATTTTTCACATATATGTCACCCGTATCAATGCCCCAATCCTATATTAATAGTCAGTAGTTGAAGATGTTCTTAAATTACTAATATGTTCTATGTTCATTTAGCTGATTGTCAACATTGCCGACCATGGAATTAGAACTATTTCAATAGGGGTTTTGAGCACATAGAACCTTATTTCTTAACACAATAATAGTCAAAGGATTCACATTAGACCTAAATAAGCTTTTTACAACATCAAATAAAAGTTACTCTTTATCTTTAGCTGAAGATAAGGTAATTGTAACCGGTCCATCGTTGACAATATTCACCTGCATACTGGCACCAAATATACCATCTTTTATTTTGGACGGATCATATACTGCTTTCATTTGAGATAGAAAATCATTGTAGAATTCTTCAGATCGTTCAGGTGCCATTGCTTTATGAAAATCTGGTTTATTTCCCTTCAATATTGACATTAACGTAAACTGACTGACACTTAGAATTTCAAACTCTTTATCCATCACGTTTTTATTCCAACGTTTTCCATTCTCATCATCAAATATTCGCAAATTTAATATCTTCCTAACTAAATATTCAGAATCCTTTTTCGTATCTTGTTCAGAAATTCCAATTAAAACACATACACCTTTACCAATAGAACTGATGATTTCATTATCTACACTGACACTGGCTTTAGTTACTCTTTGTATAATAGCCTTCATGATATTATCTCTCTGAAACAAATAGAGAACTCATCATTCAAATTTTCACAACAATATGATTTTAGTTAGATCTATAAGTTTATGTCGTATATAGTTGAAATATGAGAAAATAAATGAATTTCCACAGAAATAGCATAGCTTAATATGCAGAGACTGGCTATAACCTATAAATAATATAATAGAATCATATTTAGTGTTGAAGGAAATTTCACAAGAGCAGCAGAGCTAATTTATCTAAAGAGCATACAATTTTTAATTCATAATAGTCAAATGAAATATACAGATACAGACAGTGACGAGAATATCTGAATAAAGGGTTGTCTTCCCTAAAAAGTTGTTGTAACCTGAGTGTTAGTATCCACATTTGTTTCAGAATTGTTTCATCCAATTGTCCAATTCAGACTTCATGGTGTTTCGATTTTATTAAATCGCGAAGTAAGGGGAACATGAGATGAGACAGTAGCCTAGTTGACTTCCGTGTTGTACAGAACTTCCAGCCGCAGAAAGCACCTTCATAAATCTATCGAGCATGAAAAATGCATCGCAACTAAAGATTTATTCACATACATGATACGTTGAAGATATAAAATTGGTTTAGGCAGGAAGAAAATAGGATTGAAAGAAGAAGAAAACAGTAAGTTGTAACTACTATGCGGGTATGATTGCATGAGTCATTTCGTAACAAATTTACTATTTGAGACGAAAAGACTCATTCAATCATTCCCGTCTATAGTCATTTCAAAAACACGCCTGTCTTCACATATTTGTATAGTTAGATGCGGAACCTATGAATTTTGAGGCCAAGCTATTTGTGAGTATTCCACTGGTTGTAGGTTCTCCCTTTTCGTGTTGAATTTGGTCTCTTAAATAGTCTTCAGAAGTACAAGAAAAGTACGAAAGTGCATAATATTGCCACACTCATTTAAGCTGTCATCGCTTTGACATTCTTCGCAGTAAAGACAGACCAATCGCGAATCATTTTAATTCAACCAATCATTCCAGATTGAAGGTCTTGTGAGCATAGAAAAAGTTTCTGTATCTTAAACGACCAAACCAAAATAGAAGCAGAGAGGCATTTAAAACATGTTATTATAGGCGTAAACAGCGGTGTAACCTATATTCGTGCATAAGGATTCGACATCGAATTTCGCCAAATTTAAAAAAAAAAAAACACAGAAAATTTTGATGTTTCCTCTGATAAGCTTATTCAATAAAATTAAATATGTAAATTGCCTTGTTTCAATTTTCTTTACGAATCTTTGACCCATATCTTATGAATAACCAACTCGACAAAGGCTGCGCCCTGTGTGGCGCTACTTCACTTATGTACCTCTTTATGATCTATAAGAGGTACATAAGTGAAGTAGCGCCATGTCAATAAAAACACATTTTATGGATACTCGCTGGTATAATTAACTTTTCTTAGTATTTCAACCAAGTTGTATGTTTACTTGTTTACTACCCAATAATCCCAATAATATGATGATTATTGAAGTTTCGAAACGCTTTTGTCGTAATTCTTATAATTGGAAGGAGTTCTCGAAATGTTTTTACTTGTTTTCATTGTCATCCGCCATCTTGAACCTCAAACAAGTTGTACCAAAGCACTGTGAGCCACGATTTGGTCTATTTGAATAAATGTTTTGGCAATTTACTAAAATAAATGAGTATTGTAGGCAAATTGTTGTAGGCCTTCACTTTATAAATGCACACTTTGATCTGTGTAATACGATTTGCTTAAATAAAAACTCCCTGTGTATGCCTTGTGCATTTAGCCTACAATTGTCCATTTGTATTAGAAGTGTGAGTATACAAAATATCATTGTTTATTTGTAGGATATTTGGTGTTTTAAACAGAAGAATCAAAGCAATATATACTCTAAATTATTGTAATTCATAAGCAAAACAGAAAAAAGAAAGACACTGAAGTGCTTTAAGACATTTTTAAAGACAAGGTTTATCTCAAAGGTTTCTTCAAACTGAAAACATCCCCTACTAACACACCATGTTATATTTAGTTGGTCTAGGTTTAGGAGATGCTAAAGACATTACGGTGAAGGGTCTAGAGGTTGTGAAATCAGCAAATAGAGTTTATCTAGAAGCTTACACTTCTATTTTGACAGTCGGGTTGGATACCTTAGAGAAGTTTTATGGACGAGAAGTGAAGCTAGCTGATAGAGATACTGTTGAACAGGATTCAGATGAGATCCTAGATGGTGCTGACATCGAAGATGTGGCTCTGCTAGTGGTAGGTGATCCGTTAGGGGCAACAACTCATACTGATTTAATATTACGTGCTCTAGAGAAAAAGATACCATATAAGGTGATACATAATGCATCTATCATGAATGCAATTGGTTGCTGTGGTCTTCAGCTGTATAACTATGGAGAGGCAGTTTCAATTGTGTTTTGGGAAGAAAATTGGAAGCCTGAAAGTTTCTATGATAAAATTTGTCACAATCGTAAGAATGGCCTACACACTTTGTGTCTATTGGACATAAAAATGAAAGAACAAACCACTGAAAATCTGATGAAGGGAAGAAAAATTTATGAACCTCCCAGATTCATGACAGTAAATCAAGCTAGCAAGCAGTTACTTGATATTATTCAGAACCGTGTAAAATCTGAGTGTGAAAAGGGTGAATTGTTGAAAGACACTATTTGTGTAGGGGTTGCCAGGGTGGGATCAGACGCTCAACAAATTGTTACTAGTACATTAGAAAAAATGGTGAATGTTGATCTTGGTGGACCACTGCATTCACTTGTTATACCTGGAAACACACATGAAATAGAAGTTGAAATGATGAAACAGTTTGTTATTCATTCAGATGTTAATCTAAACTCTCTGATAAAATGATGAATTGAATTGTGACTTTTTCTTACCATATGGCCTATTTCAAATGGGTCCATTGAGATACTTGTTAATAACACCCCACAATTGACTTGCATTTTAGAAACATAAAGGTATTTAATCGCTTTTGAAGCTGATCGATTTCTTTTGCTATTTTTTCATTCCTTCGTCATTTTAAATAAATGGCATTATCACACACTATCTGGTTTTGATTTATCATGGTAGAGGGCGAGGAAAGGGAGAACACAAAGGTATTTAATCGCTTTTGAAGCTGATCGATTTCTATTTCTTCTGCCTGTAGTGCTTTCATAAAAGTAATCCAACTTCTGGTTCGTATTTTGTTTAGGAAGACGTATAGGTAGGAATGATAACAAGCCACCCCAAATTTATGAATTTCAAAATGGCCACTATTAATAAATCTATAATTGTGGATATTGTTGCCACCCATGTCCGTCCGTTCGTCCGTCCACAATTGCTTGTAAACACTCTACAAGGCACAATTCTTGACTGATTTTGACGAAACTTGGTTTGGTTGTTTGTTATCACCCAAGGATGAACCCTATTGAAAATCAGAAAAATCGAAAAAAATTCAGTATGAGTTATTGCCCTTGTTCTTAAAACGTCGTAAACACTCTAGAAGACTCATTTCTTGACTAATTTTGATGAAATTTGGTGTGAGTGTTTGTTATCCTCAAAGAATGAACCCGATTTAAAATCAGAAAGATCAAAAAATAATTAGTATGAGTTAGTGCCCTTGTTCCCGAAAAAGCGTTCAATTTTAGCTTGTAAACGCTCTAGAAGGCACAATTCGTGATGGATTTTGACGAAACGTGTTCAATTTTAGTCTGTTAACACTCTAAGAAGGCCCAATTCTTGACAGATTTTGATGAAACTTGGTGATATTATTCGGTATCGCCTCAAAAAGTTCAAAAGAAGTGTATGTCTGAAGGTTGAATATTTCACACTGGTTCACACTGGTAATTGTTACTGTACTGCCAAATATTTTTATTTAAAATCAAAGCTGCCAGTGGGCGTATATTACCTTGTCTGGTAAGCTTAGTTTAGTATATCTGAAATAACCAAGTAGTTGACCACTATGACCGCCAAGTTTTGTTACCACTGGCGCTACATTGTAATCAAGTAAATAACATGCTATAACATGGTTATTTTGTGAAAGTTCGATCCTTCCTTCTGGTGAATTTGTCAGCCAACACGTAATCAATACGAAAAGCATGTACAATGACTATAATTAGCTACATAAGACGTGCTAACGAAAACGTTATGAAACGCATCAACAAAATTCATACCGATAATATTAAGTTAGCTGTTATTTTACCCAATTAGCAGGAAAGCTATCTAATTAGTATAACAGATAATTAGCAAGGTATATAAGACTAAAAGTGACTTTCTCCACATCTACCAACGACCCAACAAGACTTCCACCGAACTTTCCGACGAGACACAATGAGTTTAATGATTTTTGTCGTTGTTTTTCTGGTGATCTCAACAACATCAGCCTTTGACTCTCCTCAAACAAACAGTACTTTGAATTCCACAGCAAACAAAATAAAGGATTCGAGTCTTATTGAAAACGCTTGTATGGAATTTAAACCCCAAAGTTGTTCCGGTGTTTGTGGCCAGTTCTTTGCTTTATGGTGTTCGTGTGATGAATATTGCCTGATTTATGGGCGATGTTGTTTTGATTATGAATCAGTTTGTAAAGAGGAATCGGAGAAATCTAAACAAGATCATGAAAACCTGATGAACGTTACGATAGTATGTGACAATAATATATCAGGATATGATGTCCCTCAGCAGGTAATAATTGACGTATTTTTTGCATGTTTTCGAACAATTCATCAGTGGATTGATACTATTTATTATTAGATGCATATGTTCTTTATATCGTCACATCATATAATTGTCGCTATCGACATAAGCGAAGTATCATTAAGTATCTAGCAGCAACTGCGAAGAACTGGATGGTTGTAGAATGGTCGCAGGTACCGATGGCTCATGTTAAAGGTACGATCCAATTTTAGCTAAAACCAGGGGCGTGGTGGCCGAGGGACTGAGGGAGGATTGGGCGTGTTACGCGATCTCCTTCATTCTTCCAAACTCGGTCTGGTCATGGTAATTCTTGTTGATTGGTAGTCGAATGTTAGTCATTGGTTTGGTTTGGATAGATTATTTAATAACTGTTGGAAAACAAGAAGACCTGAAAAAAAGAAAGATCGTGAGAAAAGAGGGGAAAGAGAAATAAAAAGGGATAAAAGCTTTCAACAAAAGAGGGAAAAGATGTTCTCTGATGTTTCTGCAGTGAAACTTGTTAAATTGACGGGATATAGTTACAAAGTGTTAAGAAACTTTGAGAATAAAACTTGGCCTATTTGTTCAAGACAGATTTGGTTATGAACTGTAATTCCATTATCGTATACCGGTGGTCCGTGAGTGGAGCCAAAACATTCTGTATGGTGAGTGGTATGGTTTCCAGGTTCTCTGGCAGTGGCTTAGGAGCGGGTTTCAGTTCAGTGCATTGAATGAGGACCTTGTGGCAACGTGGTCGCATCGACGTTTCGTGGCGTTGAACTTATGGTCTCGTAGTACATTGTTGGTCCGGAGTCTGGTACCGCACCTGACGCTCCCTTCACCCTTATACCACACTTGGGGCATGGCGACCTTAACATACTCCGTCGCCGTAGCAGTTCATTGAGGACGCCTTTCCGGTGTGACAGAGCTAGAACTGTCAAAAACACTTATTTAAACACTGAACTGAGCGATATTCTGATTGTATGCCCTGATTAAGAATTAATTTAACTTAGTTACCATAAATAGTGAAGTTATAAGTTATTTTTCGAGTTCTGCATTATTGTCTAACATGCGTTTAAATGTTTTATTTACATGTTTTATGTTTATATTATAAACGATTTCTGCACCCAATTTGGAGCCACCACGCCCCTGACTAGAATTTTAACATGAGTAATTTCAGTGTTCGAAATTTATTGCTTTGAAGATGTAATAATTATGTTATCATCTTATTTTTCTGATTTATAATTGATACTTCTCGTTTTACTAACCTTATACCAAACGGGGAGTATATGGGTATGGTTCATTATCTTTCTTGTCTAACTATGTAATTTTACGATTTCAATATTTATATCACATTTAGATTATAACAAGTTGTTCTCTAACCAATGTATCTGCCAACACCGTAGGATTGTGTGAAGAAGAAGAAATCAGAGCCTCAGTAGTTATAACCAAAGTGATGTCGAAAAGGACAGAGCTACATTATAAAAACCGACATTGTATGTTATGTAATGGTGAAGATGAAGACGATATTGTTTATTGGTCTACACTGGTGGGATCTAATAACCGTAAATTAAGGCATAGCAGTATTCAAAGCATATTAAAACTTTTCAACAGTTCTGTAAAAAATACCCCTCCCCCTAATTCCAGAGAAATCATATGTTTTCCAAACATGATATCGTCCTGTGTGTCTTCTGCTACTGAGGAAGAACAAGATTCTTGTGTAGAAAATGCCATATCGCCTATTAGATACCGAACGTCAATATATAAAAACACTTTTTGTCTTCAATGTAGTGTTGATTTTGAGACAATTAAACAAGACATTTGCCAACCGGGACAAAGGAATGATATATTTTATGGAAATTATGAACACTCTTTTACTTTTTCAATGGTTTTCAATTGGAGGAAAAATAGAGAATCTTTTGTCATTCTTGATTCTCCAATGAGTTTGATTCAAAATTTATCTTGTTCTTTTGATGCCGATCAAAATTTAAAAGAATGTAAAGTAAGAAAATGTGTTGGTACTCTGCCAGTAGTCAATAATACCTGTCAGATGATACCAGATCATTTTGGTTGTATTCAATACGTTTTCAAAATTAATTTCACTGTTCCTTCCGAATCATCCAGTGATATGAAACAAGAAGTAGAACGTATTTCCTCCAAACTCGTTCAGTTAGCTTCCAATTTTGAACGTATGCATAACGTCACCAAATACTACAGTCAAAATGTAACGTTGTATAATATAACCATAGTTGATAATAAGATAACAGGTATTATTATACTAAATCGAATGGCTTATTCTTTGTGTAATAGTCAATTCTCGCGTTTAACAAACAGTCAATATAATATATATTTAGATACTAATTTGACCTTTGATCTTAATGGTAGTATTTCTACACAGAGATATAGAGTTACCTGTTATTATTGGTGTAATAATGACGATGTGTCGATTACAGATGTTATGATATACCAGCGTTTCTTTACAGGCATCAAAGAAATGGATATTCATATGACGTCTTCTGTTACAAACTGTACACCAATATGTATATACATTTATGTAGTATCTTGGATGGGCATTGTGATATCCCAATTAGGACGAATTTAAATTATGCACAACGCCGAGGTATTTTATTTAAATAAACATTTTTTTGCAAAAATATAATTTAATCAGTTTTAACTTTCCATATTTCCTTCCAAGTAGATCTGGCTCATCATGCTAATGTACGAAAATGTGGCCAGTGAATTTTAATATAGCTTCATGTCATTTGGTGATGTAAACAAGCATTGAATCTAAATTAAGCTACGCCAAGTGGATTTGACTTAATGTATTCTCCAAGCCTTCTTCGACATCATACATTTCTTTTGATTAAGAATGCATGGATAAATCACTACAAACACCAATAAATCAAACAATTTGCTTGATTTAACTCTAAATTAATTTCTTTCCGGTTAATATAATATGAATCTAGTATAATGTAGAATTGGTACCAGATATTTATTTTTTCCCAAAACGCTGGACTATACGCTATTAAATGTAGCGTTTAGTTCTGTGGTCGTTTAAGATAAATTCAGCATAGGTTCAAGGCAACTTACGTGCCGCGTATCCGAGACGTGTATGCATTATATGCATGCACAATATGATTCGTCGACTTAGACGTATAACGTGTTCAAAACATTTTAGACTAACGCCAACGTATACGTCAAACGTTGGCATACGCCGACCGAATCGCCTTGGTGTGGCAGAACCTTTTGGGGAACTAGTATATGATGAAAGCGTTTTAGAGAAATTTTGATACACTAAATCGTCATTGCGCGAAAAGGCAATAGTGTCCTAAAATGTTTCTAAAGAGGCCACCATTTACAATTACCATCTTTGGTCCGAGTATTACGAGATCGCTGATTGGCTAATTGAATGGTGACGTATGTCTACAAAGGGGGGTTAAAAGTCATGAATGGTGAGAATATCGTGAAAGCTAAGGAACATGGTCGTGTTTAAGATGACTATAACATGAAATGGAGGGAGGGGGGGGGGGCGATTGTCGTCACCCATGTCCGTACGTCCGTTCGTCCGTCGGTCCGTCCACAATTGCTCGTAAACACTCTACAAGGCACAATTCTTGACTGATTTCCACGAAACTTGGTATGGTTGTTTTTAATCACCCAAGGATGAACTCTATTGACAATCAGAAAAATCGAAACATATTTAGATTGAGTTATTGCCCTTGTTCTTAAAACGCTCGTAAACACTTTAGACGGCACAATTCTTGACTGATTCTTGATGAATCTTGGTGTGAGTGTTATCACCATAGGATGAACCCTATTTAAAATCGGAAAGATAAAAAAATAATTAGTATGAGTTATTGCCCCTGTTCTTGAAAACGCGTTCAATTTTAGCTTGTAAACACTCTAAAAGGCACAATTCTTGATGGATTTTGACGAAACTTGGTGTGAGTGTTTGTTTTCACCTAAGGATGAACCCTATTGAAAATCAGAAAAATAGCAAAATAATTGGTATGAGTTATTGTTCTTGAAAATGCGTTCAATTTGTAGCACGTAAACACTCGAGCAGGCACAATTCTTGATGGAAATTGAAATTGAACTTGGTGTGAGTGTATGTAATACCCTAAAAATGAACCCTGACGAAAATCAGAAAAATGGAAAAATGTTATTGCCCTTGTTCTTAAAAACGCGTTCAATTTTAGTCTGTTAACACTCTAAGAAGGCCCAATTCTTGACAGATTTTGATGAAACTTGGTAATATTATTCAGTATCGCCTCAAAAAGTTCAAAAGAAGTGTATGTCTGAAGGTTGAATATATCATACTGGTAATTGTTACTGTACTGCCAAATATTTTTATTTAAAATCAAAGCTACCAGTGGGCGTATATTACCTTGCCCGGCAAGCTATCTTAATATATAGATGCTAATTTTTCTGTTCTGTATTTATGGTTCTTTTGCTCTCTTCTTTGATCAATTTTATCGTTGTAACTTATTTTAATAATAAGATTATTTTCCTGTATTTTGATATTGTATTAAAAATTTGCTTTTGTGGTATGACTTTTCTTTAAATTAAACATGTTAACAATATTAGTTCTGCGTATATACGCCACGTGAATCGTAGACAACTTATTAGAGTGGCCGTAGGATTTACATGAGACAGTGAGTTCGAAATTCAAGGGATTATGAGCGACAACGATTACAATTTTGAAAAAAATAAATCATTACAAGATTATAACGTGACTATCAGCAAATAGAATTCAAACTAAGTGATTTTCGCAATAGTGATGTCCTTGGAATCAATACTACTTCTTCCAATTACTTAAAGGGATAGGTTCGCCAGTTTTTTGACCAAACGTACCTTAGTCTCAGAAACGGAGCTTTTTTAAGCTTAAATCACCGCGTAAATTTGAGCCCTCATTATCTTTACTATGCATTATCTTTCACGATAGTACCCGATCATTTTAGGGTCGATCGGCTGCATTTTTGAGAAAAGGTCGAGAACCTGAAAGTATCACCGAGCACTACCTTTTACCTTTGTGGAAGATCTGGTGCGATCGTCTCAGTCCTTAGGTCGGGTACTGAAAAAGTGATCGGCTTCTTTTGTGTTTGAGGAATAATGGAAATCCTTCAAGCGATTGACGTGATACCGATTCGCAAGTATGCGAAATTGCGCACAAGTACTTTCCAATACGTTTTAACAAAGCCTTCAAATCACATTTATGATGATTATAATAATGAAATATAATATTTATTTAAATTCGAATTATATAGTCGAGAAAAAGGATTCAAAATGGTTGTGAACCACGTTGTGTGTTATTTTTATCCCGTATTGTGCTCATTATATGATGATTAAAATAATGACAATAATATATAGAATTGAATAAGGCCATTTATTTTTCTAATATATGACAGAAAAATCAAAATAAGTATAACAAGAATTCAGGAATAAAACCAAGTACAAAATAAATCTAACTATTGACATTATAAAGCTAATTAAAATATCATATGTAACAATAAACAAATATCCCCCATCCACAACAGTAAAAGGAAAGAAAAAAAGATATCTTGATCCAGTTAGAGGCCAAAACCCTTAGAAAAAGAAATTAAAAGCAAAAAATCTAAAATAATACTATGGAAATAATTCAGCAGGATACGGTTACAAATTGTTAGATAATATTTACTTAGTTAGAGTAGGTATTATAATACATTTCTTGGAAGAATTAGATGACCATCTGCCCATTTGAGCTATCTGATCTGATGACACACCATTCATGGAAGCCCAAGTGGCTGCACCTATTCAGAAACTATGTGCTTTGTAAAAACTCTTCCAATGGGCTTGTCATCTAACTGTTCATTATTTGAACAATTAAGTACAGCTCTCCATTGGGTTCTGGAATCAAAATAGAATAGCTCCTGTGTCCATATTCTTGATGATTTCCTATTGGTTGGACCCCCTTATTTAGATCAATGTCAAATTCACCTGAGTAACTTTTAAATGGTGTCTCGGGATATTGGCATACCTCTCAATCCTAAAAAAATTGTTCTTAGCGCCTATCAACAGAAGCAGTCATTAATAGGACTCTTACATTTTGCTCGTGCAGTTGTGCGCCGAGGTCGCCCGTTTTTACGTCGTCTTTTTAATCTCACTATAGGGTTGAAAAAAAAAACCCCAACCATCTCCATCGACGTTTAAATGCTAAGGCCCGTGCAGATCTGCATGCATGGCTAAAATTTATTGAAACCTATCATTAATATTTGTTATCCATTATAAACCAGTGAGGTTGTGGAAAGTGGTATTAATTTATAAGCATGTTTTATGTCAGATTTTGAAAGCAATGAATCTTCCAAACGTTTTTACTAACTTAACTGCATGATCAATGGTCTGATACTGCACGAACTCGAAGAAATACCATTATGAACAGATTCATTTGTCGGGTAAGACAAATGATGAATCTAATCGCGCTTCCACATCTTGTTGATCTAAATCGCGGTCGCAATATATCGATTCAAGAGATTGACATTAAAAGTCTTTATTTTGCCATGAACTTTAATTTTATAATCCATGGGGTTTTGTTTTCCTACAACATCAAAAGGACCAATTTCCGGGCCTTAGACGTTATAGGACATAAGTAATTACATAGATATAAATAGCATATTTTCGAAATATTTTTTCAGGTATAATTTACAATGTTGTTTTGATAATGAAAATAGGTCCTTTACATCTGCCCCTGTAATGTTTTAAGCTATTATATTTTATTGGTTTTTAAGTGTTCCAACAACAAAGACCGCTACAAACACCTCTTGGGGATACATTTATCGATTTGAAATAACTCTGGAAAACAATTAAATTAAATTTTCTACTTATGACAGAGGTATTTCAGATATTTCTCAAGCAGTCAAGCAACTCACATTTATATTATGCCTAAATGCTTAATCTTATTAGGTATTAGTAACGGCATTGGTTACTCAATAACACGACGTTCTTTCGTTTTAATTTACTTCAAATTCATATTGTAGTTATTTCATATTGTAGTTAATAGCGTTTTCTTTCGATTAAAAAACACAGAGTATCAAAATGTTGGTGATATTATTGAAGTTACTAATGTTATTGAATACATGTAAAACTTGTGAAATTACTACGAAAATGTTCAAATCTTATACAAAAGATAAACTTTTATCGGGGTATTACCAGACAACTACGGCTGCTGACCAACTATCATGTACAAGTTCTTGTTTTTTCAATGAAAGATGTGTTGGATTGGCTTATCATGTATTGCGAAAAATGTGTTACTTATATGACAAAATTCAAGTTTGTTATAATTCTTTAGTCGATGTTGGTGTGAATACGTTTTTTCTAGAAGGTAAGTTTCGTTTCGAAGCATGAAATCTACGATCCTGACAATAAACAATACTAATTTTATTATATTTCACCCGGGTGAAAATACAAGTTTTTAATTCAAAATTATTTTTTATAATTATATTCGATTGTTTTTTTAATTCAAAATTGAAAAAATAAATGATGTCGTATACGAACCACCGTGAATAAATGTGAAATCCAACTAGACAAGGACATTTATCAAAAACATGCGGGTTGATTCCACTACCTTCTCATGGCTCTGAAGGCAAAGAAACGGACATTACAAATCGAATTCAGAGACTAATATCGGAGATGTCTGACACTAGGTAAGAAGTAAAGGACATTAATATTGAAGATGATGTGACGAGTTTAAAATTGGAAGTCAAAGAACCGGTCCATTGATAGCAGAGCTAAAGCTTACGCAAATGGAACCAAACGCAGTAACTTGAGTTTAACTGAAAATTTTTCCATCATTAATGCCCCTAAGCACACTTCTTTAAACAAACGTTTCGAACTTATCTCATAGTGTAGACATGAGAGTAAGATCTACATGTCCATCTTCAGTAGGGACGCAAACTGAAAATAGTTTAGTTATCCGAAAATCGAACTATTTTAGGTTTTGTTTTAATATTTCTATTAGAAATAAGCCTGTAATGTGGAATCTTCAGAAAGTGACAATTAAAGTTCGGTGTCTCGGACTAATATAATGTATTAACAACAACACGAAGGTGTCCCCAACGCAGACTACAATAAACGAACTTGTACCAAAGCCACGCTTTCAACACTTCCTAGCATGCCGCCATATAGTCAACAACGTGGCATGAGGTTGTAACCATCTTTTCCTCTATGTAAATCACTGTAATAAAGTTATTTTAAATACACAACGTGAAGTCCTACATTCCAGTCAGTCTTGTGTAAGCCGTAGAACACAATTTGGTGCCGTGATTAGAGAAAGAATTTGGTGCCATGATTAGAGAAATACTTTAGAAACAACGCTGGATTTTGGTGATTGACTTTTACAGTGATACATCAACAGAGAGATGGAAGATGTGAGCGTCAGTTTATACCACATGTAGGCGGCAGAAGTCAGGATTCTTTTCATCCACAGACGTTCGAAAACGCACCATAGACAGTCAGCATCGAATTATTTAGGAAGAATTTTGGTCAACATAATCCATTTTTGTTTTTCTTTGTCTTCACGTACGTTAAAATTCACATTCAAGATGCCAAAAGATGGCGAAACGTCAGATGTTACAGAGAACCTGTCCGAAACCCACAAACGATTCGTACGAAAACGAGCTACTTTGAGAAGTTTGTTTACGAAAGAAGATCGACGAGTGAATGCCATAATCGACAGTGAAGAGCCTGATTTAAAGACTTTATACGTTGTCAAAGACAAGCTTGTGAATGCCAAACACAGACTTCAAGAATATGATGACAAAATTCAAGATCTCCTTATTCAAATGAAAGATGATCAGAGCTCTGAATATGATTTTGAAGAATGTGATATAATATCAGATAATCATTCATTGCTGTTAGCCCGCATTGATGATTTCCTACATGCTCTTGAAAAAACAAGTCAACTTTCTTCATTAGCCGCTACCAAATCAGCGCAGCACTCATCTGTCAAACTACCAAAGATAGTACTTCCTACATTTGATGGTGATCAACGCAAATGGTATAGCTTTTGGGATGTATTCGAAAGTGAAATTCATAGCTGTAAGGATATATCTGATGTCACAAAGTTCAACTATCTGAAAGGTCAGCTGAGTTCATCTGTCAAGAAACGTATTGAGGGTATCCAAGTCAGTAACGACAACTATGCTCTCTTGGTACAGACACTTCAGGACAATTATGGTAATCGTACTCTCATCAAAAATTCTCATTGTCTTGCTTTGGTTAACATTTTGAAACCACAGTATAATGCTTCATCTTTAAGAGCATTTTATGATGCAGTCATTGGTGATATCCGATCTCTGGAGACATTACAGTTGTTACCTGACCATTATGGGGAATTCTACGTTCCAATTCTAATGGAAAAGCTTCCAGCTGATGTTCTAACGACAATTCTCGAGACGTATACCGATGATAATCCACTTCTTATGGAGCTGATGGACATTATACATGCCGAGGTCAAGAAATTGGAGCAGATCACCACCATAAGTCAACAGAAAGTCAAGACTATTTCAAGCAAGCCGACAACAGCTGTCAAACCAGAAACTCTTCCATCAGGTAGTGCAACAACCATGCCAGCTACGTCATCCACTCAGTCTTCAAGATCTTTCAAAACCAAACTTTTCAAGAGACCAGCTCGTCTTTGTCAATTTTGTGGTGGTCAACACAACACATTCCAGTGCACACTTTCTGTCGATGATCGTGTCAAAGCTGCCAAGTCACATAATCGGTGTATGAACTGTCTTAAAGATTCTCATTCAATTGAAAACTGTCCTTCACATTGGAGGTGCTCAATATGTAAGGAATCTCATCATACAGCAATTCATGGTTCGAATATACTACGGTCTGCGTCTACATCAGGGAAGTCACAAAGAACTGCACCTTCTGCACGGACTGGTACAACGAACGCAGCTTTTACGGGTACAGAAAGTTTAGCTGATCCATTGTCAGATGTTAGTTCTCCACAATCACAGACCTATTCTTACAAGTTACCAGAACTGCAGTCTTGCTTAGCCCCAGTATTACTGAAGACTGCTGTTGCTCCGGTAAAGAATGATCCAACTACGTTAGAAACTAACTTCTTCTTTGATGAAGGTTCAACATTGACCTATATCAAGTCACAACATGCCAGAAATCTCAGATTGGTTCCATATGGTACTGCGTATTCTCATCGACTCTTTTGGTGGACGTTCCAATCTGTTTTATTCAAAGATGAGATTGTACAACCCATTAGCTGCAATGCATGGTCAGAATGTCTACATAAAGATCATCTGAAACAACTACGATTGGCGAACAAATTCGATCAACATTTTGATGTCCATATACTGATTGGTTTGGACTCCGTCTGGAAATTCCTTAAACCTGAAATCATTCTCGGGTTTCCGATGGTACAAGCATCCAGTTTGGGTTATCTTGTTTATGGTAGAATCTTCTGGACATGATGACGTTGAATGGATATCCACAGATCATACAGACTTTTAATTACACGACAAGGTAAACAAGTCACTGCAGATTGAATCTTTGGATATTGAACCGTTCGACGACCAGACGGACTCTGAATTTTTAGAGAGATTCATCAAATAGAGTATCGTAACGGAACATATTACGCTCCACTACCATGGTTAGACAATCAACCAACAATACAGTCCAATCAGCCGATTGCTCTCAGCAGATTGGAACAGGTCAAGAACAGACTCCTGAAACTTCAACTTTGGGAACCATACTCCAAAATAATTCAAGATCAACTCGAAAAGAACTATGTTGAACCAGTTCCAGATGAAGTGCCTTGGAAGGAAGCGGGTGCTCATTACTTAAGCCACCTTTTTGTTCTTCGTCCAGAGAGTGAAACAACTCCTTTAAGAGTCGTCTATGCTGCCAATGCTGGAAGAACGTCTCTCAACGACTGTCTCCATACAGGACCTTGTTTACTTCAACCATTATTTGAACTGTTACAAAGATTTCGACTGAACAGATACGCTCTGGTTGCTGACCAGAAGGCTTTTTTGAGAATTAAGCTGTTTGAACCTGATCGTGATTATGTTAGATTCCTTTGGTATACAGATGGAGATCCAACCAAACCAATTAAAGTCTACAGATATACCTGTTTTCTTCGGTGGTTCACCATTCATATTGAACTCAACAGTTATCTACCACTTGTCTAAGTATGTAGCGGATCCAGACAATTTCAAATCACAGGTTGCAGCAGATCTCAAAAGCAAACTATACTGCGACAACGTTCTAAGTGGTCAAGATGATGAATATACAGCCATCCAGTATTATCATTCAGCACGTCAGATTATGAGCGAAGCGGATATGAACCTACGTCAATGGTCAACTAATCTAGAATCGCTTCAAAATATAATCAAGCAAGATGGTACTGGATCTACGAAAGAGTATACTGCTTTACTTGGTATGGTATGGAATCATCACGAAGATACTATTTCATTCCCGAAGAAAACAATCGTTCCATTTTCACAAGATAAGTTTACCAAACGTGCAGCTTTAAGTTCGGCCTCCTCAACGTTTGATCCATTGGGATTCCTGTCTCCAGTTACTGTCAGAGCGAAGAATTTCATCTCAGTACTATGGAAGAAGAATTATGAGTGAGATACACCTCTCCCTGCTCATCTCCATCTTGAGTACCATGATATTGCGTTGAACATCGAAGCAGCATCAACAATACGAATTCAAAGATTCGTCGACTTCGATAAAGATATACCCATACAGCTACACACGTTCTGTGATGCAAGTCCAAATGTTGCAGCTGCAAGTGTACTGTATCTCCGTCAAAAAAGATAAGGTCTGCTTGATTGCCTCCAAGTTCAAAACCGCATCTTCGAAACGTCAATACACCGTACCAAGATGGGAACTGGTTGCTAGGGTGATTGGTTGTAGATTATCTCGATCGTTGATGGATATTATTTCCAAGGATTACAAAGTAGTTGAACAGTTCTACTGGACAGAATCTAGCATATGTCTCTCATGGTTGTCATCAACCAAGAAACTGGACATTTTTGTAAGAAATCGTCTTGATGAGATTCAACGTTTGTCAGATGTCAGAAAATGGAATCATGTCAGGTCAGAAGAAAATCCAGCTGACTTGCCATCAAGAGGTTGTACAGCAGATCAATTCATCGAATGAAGATTATGGTTTTCCGGACCCGACTGGTTGCCTTATCCTGAAAAATGGCCTGAACCTGTTATTGCTGATCCTGACGAACCAAATTCAAATGGTAACATATGTTTATCTACTGTTGCTTCAAATGAAAGTGGTTCAAATGGTACACTTAGCCAGCTTCTTGATGTCTCCAGATACAGTTCTTATGAAAAACTGCTTCGAATAGTGGTATATGTTCAACGATTCATACAAAACTTAAAACAGCGTCATCTGGTTACCAGTCAGCATCGTGATATCACGCTAAGTGTTATTCCAGTTCCTTCAACAGAAGAAATTCAACGAGCTGAATTCAGCATTCTTGAAGCTCACCAAAAAGAATGTTTTCCAGTTGAACTCGCATACTTACTCAAGAAGTCAAATTCTGCAAAGACCAGGCCTCAACTAGTTCGTCAACTGTGTTTGAGACTCAACTTGGGTAACCTGATTGTCGCCCCCGGCAGACTCGAGCATGCCAAGCTCCACAAAGATGCAAAATTACCGATTCTGATATCCAGGAAGACCCATTTAACGGAACTATTGGTTAAATCAGTACATTCTTCTCAACTACATGCAGGAGTAAGCTCAATTGTCACAGCTTTACGAAGACGTTTTTGGTTACCAGCAGCACGTAGTGAAGTATCCAGAGTTCTACGGCGATGTGTTATTTGTCGTTACCATGTTGGTAAGTCCTTCAGACTTCCTCCATCTCCAGCCTTACCAGATTTTCGTCTCAACCGCCTTAAACCATTTTCAACGGTTGGTATCGACTTTACGAGCCATCTGATGGTAAAGAATGGCGGAAAGAAAGTCAAGTGTTACATTTGTCTATTTACATGTAGCACAACACGAAACGTAAACCTAGAAGTTGTAACTGACATGTCTACAGATCAGTTTTTGCAGGCATTTCGCAGACACACCACTATGTATGGTATTCCCAGTTTGATACTTTGTGACAACGCTGCCACGTTCCTGAAAGCTGATGAAGAAATAACCAAGCTTTTTAACTGTTTGGATAAACCAGCTGTACAGAATCATCTTACCAACAACAAAGTTATCTACATGAGGCACATTCCTGCAAAATCTCCTCACTGGGGTGGAATGTATGAACGGTTGATTGGTGTGGTGAAAATGGTAATCAAGAAGGTGTTACGTAGAGCGCTCATAGATCTGAATGAAATGCAGACACTTGTTAAAGAGGTACAGTCTGTTGTGAACGACAGACCACTCACATACGTATCAACGAGTGTTGAAGATCCGGAACCAATTACTGGAAACTTTGCTTGCGGTAGTGGGAAGGCAGTGTTGTAGAGAATTTGTTTTCATTTGTGTCCTATGAGGATTTAAAAGAATCAAGGTGCCTTGACTTCCTTCTACAGGCCATTCCAGCGATCCACTACTGTATAGATGACAAAGTTGCTTTTTATTGCTGTACGGCAGAAGTTCCTCTTCAACTTTAAATTCTAGAATTTGTCCTGTTTTGTATTCTGGACTGTATTTAAAACCTCTTGCGCATTTATCAAGTATTTCCTCATAATCTAATTTTTTTCAATTTAGGGGTGGGTTTTGTTCTTCTTCTCAATACCCATGTTTTTTGTAGACGGTGTGCTCATGCTATATTACAGTATTCTAAATAGGAATCACAGTCTAGGAAATGGTAAGATCTCCTAATCAGACTTGTTTACTTGTCCTTAAATATATATCGAGAACTTTTGCGTCGGGTCTATGTTCCTTGGTCTGTTTCTTCCAGGGTTATCTCTTTGGGTCATTCTCATTTTGTACGGATCGTGTGGTTTTCTATTTCCAAAGTAGATGGTTTTATATTTGGATGCGTTTAAACGTAAGTTGTTTTTATTGCTGTTCTATGATTCTAGAGAAATAAGACCTTTTTATATGCCATTGGTTTCCATTAAATCGTACGAGATCCATTTTAGAACGTTACCATTGCTGTCTAACTTTCTCAATAGCTTTTCGTGTGGTACCGAGACGAACGTTTTGGAGACGTCGAGGTAAACTATATCCACTGGTGTTGCTGAAGACACATAAAAATCCGTACAAGCAAGACAATTCCGTTAATCAAAATTTATGTCTGATACATAATTGAGGTTGCTTACAGGCCTGTAGTTGTTAAGAAAATTGGGAGTTAATGTTCTTTTACATATCAATGGTCTTATGACTGCTTCTTTCAGTTAATCTGGGAAAATGTCTGTCTTAAAGGATGGATTTACAATATTGGAGTGATGAAAATATCAATAATATCTTTTAGAAGCCATGTTGGTAATGGATCAAGTTCACAAATTTTTTTTTGATTTGGTTGATGTTAATAGTCAATTTATCTTCGGTGTACGGTTGAAACGTGGAAAGAGTGGGTGTTATATTGTTAGTCGATGGACGTACCTGTGAGCTCTATTATGATGTTATGTTGTCTTATTTTCAAGATCCTGTCGTTGAAGTACTGATTGAATCTTTGAGCCACAGTAGATGCCGATTCATGTCCAGGAAGAATGTTGTTAGGCCCACTGTTAGAATTTACTATTAGTTAATCAACTATTCTATATAATTGTCTTGGATTTGGGGTCAATTATGATATCTGGTTCAGGCCCGTAGCTAGATTCAAAATCTTCAGCTTATATTTGAAAGATAAACATTTATCAGAAATGACTACGTTGATAGAAAACATATTTATGAGTACATATTATCAATTATATTATATTGAAGCCAGCGTGGTAACATTATAAAATTTATATTTTCATCCAGTTTTTCTAAAATGAAAAACAAAAACACTTGATTTATCTGTCTTTTGATTTGAAATAAGAGTATTTGGTAATGTATGATATTAGCTAATATTGAGCAAATATAATTTGATTTTAGCCGTTGAATTATAGAGACAATGGATGTTTTATTTCAGGAACTTTTGTAGAGAACATTGCTTTAAATAAACCTGTTAATAGTAGCAGTATGTTGAAAAACAAATTCGCACCATGTAATGCCGTTGACGGACGGTTAACGGAAATGGTTCATACCCAGAATTCTGACATAGAATGGTGGTGTGTTGATTTAGAGAAAATATACAATTTTCAATCCGTCGTTCTATACAATAGAGATGGTGACGTAGGTAAGTACATCTATGTCAAACTTGTAATGGAAATTTAAGCCAAAGAAATTATCAACTGTACCATACTTTGTCTTAAAAGTCAATTTTATATATGCCTATGTAAATGTAGCGAGAATGTCATTCCGGTTGCGCTAACGACACTAAAGGGCCTGTCACACCTTGACGATTTAGTCAGCGTAAGCGGGTGCAACAAAATTTTTCTAAAACGCTGAACTATCGACGTATCTTTTTTATATTTAAATTTTGGGCGTATTCCTAGTGTATTTACAATATATTGCACGTATACAAAACGTGATATTAACCTACAGAGAACGCTTTAAAAACTTATAGATAACTTATACCAACGACTAAAGTCTTTGAATGGCATTTAGCAATTGTGAGTACGATATATAGACACAGCTTTATGGAACAACAATCACTGGTTAAAGTTTTATGCAACGTTTCGACGTGTTTCCCCTGTCGTCCTCAGTCACATAATGAGAAGAAGTGATGGGCAAACTATATAAACATTAATGCTTATTATTAAGAACACACAAGAGATAAATGGTTTATTGATACATTACATAAATTTTAACAGGTACAATAAGAGGTACATAATTCTTAAAATAACATACAGGCTGATTAAGTAAAATAATTGAGATAAATAAGTGAATTAAAAAAGATTAATTGAAGATTAAATAAATAACTATTGCAAGTAATGGAGTCTTTTATTAATAGAAATTACATTGTTTCAAATAATTAAATTATGGTTAAAGTTGAAAAATTTTATTAAATTGAATACATTTATGAATATGAATAATTACAAGTTTATCATATGCATGCGATAAACGAACACCTTCATCTATGTTAAGGTCAGGCTGATATCTTCTGATGTTGATAGCTTCATGAAGTCTCCTGGTTTTATCTATGTACTTATTATTTGTCAGTATGTTGGTGTTGCCAAAGTTGACTTTATGTCCTGTTTTTCTTCCCATAGCAAGATGTTCAGCTACAGCAGATGTTCCTTCATTGCCGGGCTTGTTTTGATGGTCTTTGATTCGAACATCAAGGGGTCTCTTTGTTTCCCCTATATAAGAACTTCCACAGGAGCACTCAACTTGGTAGACATCCCTTAGGTTTTTGGTTGTTGGAGGGATTCAATTTACCATTGGCTCTGAGCAAATCTTTAAGCGTTGAGTTGCCATAGAACACTGTTTCAATGCCTACTGACGTTTTCAGGATCTTCTTGATTTGGTATGATGCCTTTCCGATGAATGGGATAGCTAAGCGGGTTGATGGCCTGTTGGGATTAGGCTGTTGGTTGGTTGGTTTTGCCATTAATACTGATCGAAAAGCTTGATGTACATAGGCTGGGGGTAGTCGTTGCGCAAGCAAAATACTTTCTTGATGTGTTGTAATTCTTGTTGAAAGTATTTTGGGTCACAAATCCCTTTCGCTCTTCTGACCAGTGCTGTGATGGCTGCCCTTTTGACATGTTGAGGGTTGTTGGATTGGTACTTCACATACTGATCTTATATGTGTAGGTTTCCTGGAGACGCGTGTCTTCAACTGACCTCCTAACCGCTTAACTTTCACATCCAGAAAGGGTATAGAGTCATCTTCTTCTGCTTCCATGGTGAAATTCATCCTCTTATGCTGACCATTAAGATGCTGAAGTAGAGCTGAAGGGTCATCTTCAGCTCTAAGCATGACAAAGGTGTCATCAACTTTCCGGAACCAGCAGATTGGTGAGATCGGAGAAGTTTCCGTGGTCTTTTCCTCAAAGGCTGTCATATAGATTTCAGTAATCAATGGTGACAAGGGGCTTCCCATAGGTAGACCGTGGATTTGTTCATAGATGTCATCTCCCCATGTGAAGTAGGTAGAGGACATACACATCTGAATGAGATCGACGATGCTGTCTGTAGTAAGTGTAGTATCTAGTGGGGTCTCTATTTTAGATATCTTATCTCTGATGATACTCAGCACATCTGTACATGGGACATTGGTGAAACACCATATGAGTACATCTTCCCTGTGATCTTTCAATTTTGTGACAAATTCTTCTGAGTCTTTAATGAATGAGTTAGCTGTTTTCCCCAAAGGTTCCAAGATTCTGCTAAGATGTTGGGCGATGTTATAGAAGACAGAATCCCGAGAGCATATGAGTAGCCGAGCTTTGATGGGGTTTTTGTGGATGTTAATTGTTGCTCTGGCATATGGTGAACGTGGGTAACGGCTTGATCTCAGTTTAAATTTAAGTTGATTGGTAATTTGGTTACTGGATTCAAGTTCGTTTAGATTCTTGTCCAACCTGTCTTTGTATATGCTCGTTGGGTTTTTACGGAGTCTTCTGTAAGTTTTCGCATCACTAAGTAGTTCTGTGACAGTTTCCTGGTACTCTTTCTTATCCATGATGACTGTGGCTTTTCCCTTGTCTACTGGTAGAATGGTGATCTTAATATCTTGTCTGAGGTCAGTGAGTGCATCCCTCTGAACTTTGGTTAAGTTGTTAGGTTGTATCTTGTTTTTAGCGAGGATCTCTGTCACTTGGTGTCTCAGATAGTTGATATGACCGCCTGGTGCTAATTGGTGTAAGCCACGTTCAATGTTGACGATGAAGTCTTCATGGTTTTTGAGTTTGGTAACGGGTGAAAACTTTAGGCCTCGGGAGAGGAAGTTTATCTGCTCGTCTGTGAGATTTTTCTGGCTTAGGTTGATGACAGTTTTGGTTAGGAATTCATTTTTTTGGTTGTGGTCTGGTTTTAATAAATTCTCTGAATGGTTTTTCCAACTTCTTAAGTTGTCAAATTTGGTTTGTTGTGAGATTTTGATTTTTTGGCCAAGAAGGTTGTTGGTCTTCTGATGCTTGGTTTTCAAGTCTTGAAAATCATTGGTAGAGATATAGTTTGCCCATCACTTCTTCTCATTATGTGCCTGGGGACGACGAAGGAAACACGTCGAAACGTTGCATAAAACTTTAACCAGTGATTGTTGTTCCATAAAGCTGTGTCTATATATTATACCAACGACAATTAAATACCATTTCCTCCAAAGGTTCTGTCATATCATGGCGATTTGGTTAGCATCTGCCTACATTTGACGATAATAATACTGAACAATCAATTACTATTACGATCAAAGGAGAAAGTGCACCAACCAGTAGATTTCACCAGCATTAGATGGGACTCAAATAAGCTTCAGGAATTTGCTGAGGCTATAGACTTCAATCAGGTAAACTCACTGCAGGAAAGGTTAGCAACATAGAAACCAGAGGATGCCAACCAACGTAAAATTGATGAGATATAATCAGATGAGTGACATTTTCTTAAAGTCGTGTTAGATTTGTATTGTTGGTGTATCCCCTCTTTAAGGAAGTCAGTATCTTTAAAGTTTGTTTTATTGTTTATATAGACTAGGTTATCATGGTGTATATTTATGTGAATAATGTTTGGTTCTAGTTAATCTAGAATGTATTGACGTGTAAGTTTAATAGTTTCAAAGTATGGGTATATACGGCAGTGTCATTTTCAGTTAAGATAAATATTTATGTCTTGAAAATATTTTGTTGGTAAATGATCCTGATTGTTAAGGTCGTATTCTAGCTAGGTCAAATGTCAAGTTTTTGCACACTGCCTTGAAATAGTTTCTCTTACCGCCATTTTAAGGATTTAGACCAAACTTTTTAATATGTATTTTTACGACCATAGTTTCTCACAAGTTGTAAGTTTTTAATATATTTATGTATTATCTTGTAAGGAATGTTGTGTTTAGATTTTCCGTACGTTATTATATTAATCTTATGTTTAGGTTACAATGTCTTTATGTTGTCATGTGTATATTGTTGTCAGGAGTTTAGATTGTCAATTAGTTTTGACATTTTGCAAATGGGTCAATTCAGTTAGGATTCCATATTGTACCTTCGGATTATTATATTTGTGAGTTGTGTCTTTTGATTGTTATTTTTAAATTTTGTAAAAGTCAAGTTAGAACATTCGATTTGTATTCAAGTTAGAATAGTCAAGTTGAACATTCGACTTATATTTAAGTTATATAAGATAGAACATTCGACTAACTAGCTTGTATTAAGTTATTGAATGTGTATTCCTTAGAGAACTATGTTATGATGTGGATATATGCTGATATATATGAGATCATGGTTATATGTTTACTGAAACTTTGGTGGTACTTAATTCGTCAATACTTTCGGAATGACCCTTTGGAGGTACTGGTTTAGTTACTACGCCGATACTTTCGGAATGACCTTTTGGAGGTAATTTTGAGTCTATATTTGACATGTGTTTAACAACAACACATATTAGGCCTATATTTGTACTGAAATATGTTTATGAACAAGATATGTATTAAGACATATATTTTATTGTATTGAACTGTGTTTGTGAACATTTTCTTTATTACATATCTTATCGGTATCGATGTGTTGGTGCGTAATTTGGACTACGGCGGCATCCACAATAAGGCTTGAGATATTTAGTTTCATGGCTCATTCTGATGTCTTGATATAAATCCATTTTCCAGTTTCCTCAGCTCTTCTTTTGTGATGTAGGCTTCGAATAGTGATCGTTAGTTGATAGCTGACATGGATAGTTCTATGGTAACTTTTAAAATGGTACTAATAGTCTGGATGACAATTATATAAGTAAGTATTCATCTAATGGTGTTAGAAATGTTGTCTGGCTGACGCAAAAAGACATTTCTTTGTCTATCTGACGTACTAGAAACGAATTGCTGAGACACGACTGTAGACGACCTTTGTTTATGGTGTATCTGTATCTCTATATATGTGGTTACTACGTTATGTGCAACTTGTAATCTGTCATTATTAATGGCGGAGTAATTGCAAGATGGAGTATAATTATGAACTGAAATTTGGCTGGTTTTGTATATTTTATGTCTACTTTTATTAAATTTACTGTATATGTATATGTGTTGTTGCCGGCTAAATAAATTTGTTAATTTTTCTGTCTCTCATTATTGGGTCTTCTTTGGTGTGATTCTGAAGTACGAAGCATTCCGTCCGTCCATTCTGTGACAGACATTTTCAAAGACAGTGCCAAAAGTATAAATATCAGTAAACTTGCAATTAATTGTGGTTGGTTGGTAGATGACAAGTTAACGTTCGCTTCCAATGGATGCTGATATCGCAAACTAGGTAGTTGTTGGTAGTCGTAGTAGCTGGTAGATGGATTGGTTCAGATTGGATGATTCTGTGTTGTTGTTGAAAATTACTTGTGCGACTCAGGGTATTTATATATATGGGAAAATGAATCATAGTATATTGATGCTAAATAGTTAAAACAAATTAGGCCTGTATCCACAAGATTACAAGACCAATATGTTAAGAATTGGCTGATATCAATATGTACCAGTGATGAAAGTATTAATCATCAGTTTGAAGAATATTTTATCAGTTTGCCTTCAAGTTTTAATTGTTGTAATTTGAGATGTAGGAGTCATAGACTTGAAGCTGGTATAGGTAGAAATATTGAAAGAGAAAAAAAGATGTAATCTGTGTCCGACTGAAGAATTTGGTTATGAATTTCATTACATATTCCCATATAACTACCATTCTTATAAGAGAAAAGAGTATCTAAATTCATATTATTATCAATACCCTTCCACCTCTAAAATGTATAGTTTATTTAATAGTCATGCCGAACAACTAGAGAACTTATCCAATATTTTAGTCAAGATTTTTTAAATAGTATATATTCCAAAGTATAATGTCTAATAAATGTCCAATAGTTGTATAGTTCATGTTTTATAGTTGAAGTAATAACAGATTAACTTAGCATGTTATAACTATATGTATAAACTATTTGTATAATTTATTCTCATAATTTATGTCTCATTTTGAATATAGAGATTATTACGAATATACATGCACAAAATCTTCGACGTATAACTACGTATGGATCATACGTTTCGCGCATGTATTACCTAGCTACTTAAATTGGCAATTAGGGGATGTAAAATAAATATCGGGTACTTTAATTATTTAGAAAGAACTATTAATTCACGATCAAATATGTCTGCATTGGAAATAAATAGGTTCAAAGCACGTTCTTCATAGGTTAAAAATAAAAATAAGGGTTTGAGTATAAAAGCATGCGTCGAAAATTTTGTGCAAGTAATAGCCTATGTTTATACGTTCTCCCCTTACTACGCTTACACAAACCTTACTCATAACGTATTCGACATACAGCATACGCTTGTTGTAGGCTTGCCAAATCTTCGATGTGCGATAGGAACATATTACAGAAATCTTTTAATGTTAGTCGAGCTTCACAACCAATAACAAATTACTCTGAAATAAATAACTCTGAAAGTTCTTACTTAAAAATTTTATGCTGGCCCTACTTGGACCTTATTTCTAGAGTAAGTTCTTCGTAAGATAAATTCTATTTTAAAAGAATGTCAAATTTACATGTGATGCCTCAGAACTAATTTTACACCGTTACACTTGTGTTTTGAAATGCATGCGCAAACACACTAAAATTGTGATCTTTATCCATATTGTTTATTAAGTTGAATTCTCATTTATTTTATTATTTTTTTCAGCCATGAAGAATAGACTGGCAGGATTCGAGTTAAGGTTCAGTGATAATGGACATTGCAATATAGAAACATTTAATGGAAGCCGAATATGTTACAAAGATACTGAAGCAATTGGTCTGCTAGTCTACAATATAACATCATGTAACCAACCAGGAGTCAGTTTCTCTTCAAGATTTATATTTTTGAGTCCAAGATCGGACAAATATCTTACTTTTCGTCAGTTGATGGTATTTGAACCGATTGGTTAAAGTGAACACTTAATATCCAGGATAACATTTAATAAATCTTGCTCCTAGAACTAATAAATTCCTTTATGATAGGTGCTCACTATCACGATTCTCGGCAAGATTGAAATCATGGATTTATCGTTATTAACCAATCAAATCTTAAGGTCAGTCGTGAAAATTGCGCTTACAGAACAATATTTTCTATGATCAGTCAACACGATCGGGATCATCCTCTCAGATCCTACTGTATCGTAACAAAACGCAACTGATCTAATCTAATCGTACTCCCACATATCTTGTTGATCTAAATCATCGATCTTAGAAATATTTACCGGTCGGGTCAAGTCGTAACACAAATCGGATCAACTTCAACTATGATTGTCAAAGACATCGCAACCACAATTTACAGAGCGTGAACGTATTGGAACTTATCAGTAGTTTTCAGATTATCCCTTTTATGGGAACCCGATCGGATTCCGATCGTTTCAGATCATGACCTAACCAAGCGAAAAAATTCTATTGGAACGTTTGTAATCGTATCCGAGAGGAAATTCAGACCGTGGCACATGGAATTGACACGTGAAAAGGCAGCATACGAGCACAACGAATCGTTTCAGAACATAATAATCGACTCGTATTACAAACCTTAAATTTCTGAGAAATGGTAAATCGTGGCAATCTAAACGGATCACACAACAAAGAAAACCTAAAATAAGTGATTGGATGGGATTTGCAATGATATTACCTAATACATACTACAACTTTCGTGTGATTTGTGACTGCGACTTAAATAGATGACAACGTTTTTGTTTTTGAAGTTAGGAGTCTAAAAATGAAATGAGGTCTGACCAACTTGGCACTTTCGCGTCAAATTTATCCCGTAAAACTTGGTCCAAAGCTTCCCGCTTTTCTCAAAGTTAGATAGGAATCATCCTTGACTAATTATTAGTACAAGCTCACGAATCAAAACTTGTTGTCTATAGAATAAGCATGAGTTAATAAAAAAATTGTTTGTTTTTTGTTTTATTCAAAAAGGTCTATCTTTGACACATTAAAATAATATTTACTTTGCTAGCTGGCATTGTAAATGTAATATCTAAGATTTTTGAAATATTCTTAAATGCTAAACAATCGTTTTGGGCAACTTTCAGAACACGTATTTATATTTTTATATTATCTACCTATTGTCTTATCGGGAATAATAAAATTTATAATATTGATTGGTAAATTTAACGTTTATAAATTTTTCATAAGGTATTAGGGTCTCAATACTCAACATTTACTATTCAAGAAAACAATAATCCTATAAACAATCTTTATCGGACCACTTCTCGGATGAAAACAGGCATAGACAGGTTTCGTGTGCACCCTGATCAACTATCGATCAAATAAGATGTATAACAGTTACAAGGAAAGGCATAGATAAACATTGGGGTCAATTTCCAACTTTTAACAATGTAAAGTTGAATCATCTGATCGTTGAGCTAAGCGACTTCGGTGACCCAAAAATCAATGCAAATGATGTAGTTAATATTTGGGCGTTAAATTTGATAGTAATATGGATATGAAATATCAGATATCTACTATATGTAAATCTTGTCACTTTCATCTATACATCATGTCATGTAGAGGATCCTACATTGATTAGCAAACAACTAACAAATCAAATCAAAACTAGATTACTGTAATTCACTACTGTATGGACTCTTAGCTAAATCACTCACACTTATTCAAAATAAAACTGCCAGAATGATATCCCTCACTAAAACTCATACTAATATTACCGCTGTATTTTATGACCTCCACTGGCTTCCAATACCATACCACATTGAAAACATACTCCCCCTAACATATCTTACCTTAAACAGTCCGGGAGCTCTGAAGGAGTACAATTCCCAACTAAAATGTGTAATTAACACGGAGACTTAGGATGGCGGAGAAGACATCTAATTCGATTTTGATGTGATAAGTTTGTTTTATTTATGGTCCAAAGGGTGGGGAGGTTATCCTCGGTAGCTTAGCGTTTTACTGCCGGTTCGGGGATTGGGGCAACCTTTCACTGATTATATACGGCCAAATATTTTAATTGGTTACAAAGATAGCTTAGATTTATTTGATACAATTTGAGGGCACAGCCCCGGTGAAACACATTGTGTTTTCCTTCTCTTTGCGTTATAATATATTGTGAAAGTTATTGACCTCTAATAAAATGGCGGCCGTTCTCCGTTGTCGGCACTTTCAATAGACGTATCAGATTAACGAAGCTCCAAATGAAATCAGATAAGCTCAGGATAAAACCAGTGAGTTATATAACTCATTGATATAGTTTTAGCGCTGACGTCATAAGTTTTTGTGGTCACGTGAATCCCGAATGATCACATGAATCTTGGACCATAAAAAATAATATCTTGCAACATGATTTTAACGTCTTGGTATTTAACTAAAATTCTTGGAACATAATAATAGAGAATTTTCAAGAATTTTTTTTGTAACATAAATATTAACATTTCTTGGTACATAATAAAAACTCGTTCAACAAAATATTTTTTGGAGTGTAAATAAAAAAATTCTTGGAATTTGTGACTTTAATTTTTAGCGAAATAAAGATAAAATACAGTTCTTATAATTTTATTATTTTGGTATATGATATAGATATTATCATAGGTCTCGTACACATCACTGAGGTACTTTGTAAATTACCACTCCTAGTACAAGCTTGATATCCCACAACTGTTAGTCTAGTTCGATACTTACTAGTCTGACACCATACAACTACAAGCTTGATACTTACTAATACTAATTTGATACTTACCACTACTAGTCGGACACTATACAAATACTAGCTTGATACTTACTAATACCTATTTGATACTTACCACTATTAGTCTGACACCATACAACTACAAGCTTGATACTTACTAATACTAATTTGATACTTACCACTACTAGTCTGACACCATAAAACTACAAGCTTGATACTTACTAATACTAATTTGATACTTACCACTATTAGTCTGACACCATAAAACTACAAGCTTGATACTTACTAAAACTAATTTGATACTTACCACTACTAGTCTGACACCATACAATTACTAGCTTGATACCACCACAAGTTTGATTCTTAAGAATACTAGTTTGAAACTTACCACTACTGGTTTGATACTTACCAATACTGGTTTGATACTTACCAATATTAGCTTGATACTTAAGAATACTAGTTTGATACTTACCACTCCTGGTTTGATACTTACCAATACCGATTAGACACCAGCAACTACTAATTTGACACTATACAGCTAGCTTGATACTCAGCACTACAAGTCTGACACCATACAACTACTAGCTTGATATTCACCACCACTGGTTATGGAACTTATGAAATATATTTGTGTATGTATGTATTTTACTCAGCGAGGCAGATTCGAATAAGCATTATGCTTTTTTCTGTATTGCATATATATATTTTGTACATTGTACCACTAAATCCACAATAATGAAATATTGTTAAAAAAAACTGTAATGTTAGTTTTATTGTCCACATTGAGGTTCATTTTTATTGATCAAATCGAATTTGTGTCATTTTTACTATGTTTGTTATTATAATGTTAATGATGTATAATGTAAATAAATATTTGTAAAGTGTGCTATTTATATCTATGTATCCTCTTGATAAAACTGAATTTATTTAAAAGGGTTAATTAAAAAGGACAGTACTAATTGTATTTGTAAATTAAGTTTGGACTAGTGTTGGTGTTTGGCTTTATAATTGCTCGATATCTTGAAACCTTAGGAATACGTAGGAGATATATTACTACGTATTTAAAAGACCCAGTTGTCCAAACTCTTTCAAAATATGGCTCTGTTAATGTCGCTGTACGTGTCCCCATACCACTTACCACCATTACCAGAGCTTGTTCGTCTTGTTGCTGTGTCATTCGTGGCATTCAACATGTTTTATACCCTTAGTGCACGTGCTTTTTTGTATATTCAAGGATCACGAGATTTTCGCATTTTGAAGATTCCCCCCACCGCGATGAGCAGTGAACGGGTATAATTCCAACATTATTGTTATGTTTAAGCAATGTATTTTGAATGGATATGGATTGAACATGTCATATATTTTTCGTTAAAATTCACCTTTCAAAGTGGTTAAATTTATTTTAGCTTTCAATTTACATACTTGATTGAGGAAAATTGATTTTATCCATTTACTTAAAGTAAATGAGTTTACATGTCTATTATAATTGTCAATTGTGATAAGAGCTTGATTATGATTGTTCTTAAAGGGACATATTGTGTTTTTTGGGATTTGGAATTATTTATTTTCTCACATTCATGAATACTATACACCAGAATATAAAGAAGTGTGTCCCTTGGCTAATCTCAAAGTTTAAACTTGAAGCATCTTGTAGTTCATTTTAGAACACCAAATATAGTTAAAAGGTTTATGTAAACATTCTAACGTCGGTATGTTTCTTCGTTGGTTTTGGAAAACTAAACGTTAAATTGTAGACAATTAATATGCCTCCTACTTATTCGGATGGTTTCAGCTAAAAAATATTGAGCCGTTTGAAGGCCATATACCAAAACAATGATCAAACTGCTATATAATTATACGCTCTATTTTTGATCATAACTTTTAAAACACATTTAGGTTGATCAGTTGCATACATAGAAGTAAATAACATTTATTATTATTGGACATTGATAAAGACAAAACAATTATATTGAGTTCTAGAGTTGTCGCCGGTCTAAATCGTATATGGGCGCATATATTAAACTGTTCGGTTTCAGACGTTCGGTAAATTAATGTTTCTATAGAATATTTGATGCTCAAAAACAATCACAAGTACGTGCAATCGTCTTTCATACATTATAAAGACAATATAAAACAATATAGCTGCGACAGGTTGACCGCCGAATTACCAATACAGAAAACAATACCAAAAATTAAAGCTGCAACAGGTTGATAGTATAATAACCATTACAGGAGTCGACTAAATTAACTCTATAGGCCTGGCAAAATTATCACCTCGATGACCACCTTCAAATATAAATAGAAAAACAAACGGCAGATTCAACTCTATTTTAGCGGTGGAAGGGTAGGGTTTTGGTTAAATTTAACAAAATTAATTATCCTTAAATTCTTTTAAGCGTAATAAACGTGACTGTAGGCCTACTGGTCGTAAATAGAATGATTGACAGGCATTCATAAAGGGAAATAACTCTGGTTTTAAATGTGTGATTACTTTCCTTTTATCTTTAGGCTTACTTATTTCTACAGCCAACCTTGGTCGGTGCCATGATAACGAAATTTATTTCAGATCGAAATAAATTTTAGTATATTAACAATGTTTCATATAATAAAAAAATAGCATAATGCCCCTTTAAAATAAATTGATCTCTTTTAATGAATTCAGGAAAATAAGTATCATTAAGTGAAAACATTAAGGTTACCCATTGATAGTATTATAATTAGATTCTTGAGATTCATTAATCTATCAACATTCAAATCATTATACGAAAGAGTGTCGCAGTCCGGCTTTCGTAGAAGAAGAATTTAGCTTTGTATTCAGAAAAGTAGCAGTAGCCTATTTCTGTTAACAGGTCATTTTCACTGGGTTACTGTCTCATGTTTATCCCATTGACTTTGAATGTTGACCACGTGGATTGCAATTTAAATAGTTACATATTGATTTTCACATTGAGATCAAGTGCTTTATTTTCATAGAGGTTAAATAACTATGTGGTTCAAGGTATGACCTATAAGCGTATCGGGTTTACAGAACATATCAAGAATTTGAATTAGTTTGAGGTATTTTAGCAAAAATATTTAAATAGCAATGGCTATCGTAATACGCCCACAATTATAATGGTAACCAAGTCGTCAGTAAATGGAATATTTCGAGAGTAAGTTTTTTTTATACTACTTTACTTATTTAACAGCTTTCGTACTGTGTCTTTTTACAGAGGCATACTTTTCCCTATTATGATGACAATACTGAGTTTTCAAAATATAACCCTCACCGCTCACGGTTTTAGATTCCGCAATACTTATTTTCCTGTGGATCCATCCGATGTCTGAACTGTCATTTTTTCTAAACAATTGCAGGTTCGTCTATTTTTGTCACCAACTGCCGACGGTAGTGTGGAGCCAATCAAATCTAGCTTCTACCTTGTCCAGCAGGACATTCTGGGACTTATCTGGAACCGGTGAGAGTTGAGCCACTGTCGAATTATAGGGCACATCTAATACGAGAATTCTAAACTTCTCCTCGCTAAATAATTCTGATTTACTATTCAGAAGATTTTCACTTTTAGACATTTCAGTTGCCATTTTTTCTAGCACGTGGGTGACGTTATAGGCACGCATTAAAGGGACACAACTCTTGCAAGTTATGACCAATATTTTATTTATTGAACTTGTCCTGTTTCGTTTTATTAATTTATGTATTTTGTATTACGGTTCTGATCGTTTGTACATGGTATTTATTTTATTCCAGATTTTACCATAAAACTATAGTTTCGATTTCCCTAACAGGTCCAAATTATAACTAAAACATTAAAATTTCCGGATTTTTTCAGAAACCTTTAGTTTCGTTTAGCAAGTCGTTTTTGTGGAGTTGGGCTGATGGAGTTGGGCAATACGGCAAAACGAACCCACCGTGGAGACAACAACTTTCTATCGTGTCCACAATCAATACAAATTGAACGTGTTTTCAAGAACTAGGGCAATAACTCAAAGCAAATATTTTCCGATTTGTCGGATTTTCTTCATTAGGTGATAACACATATCGACACCAAATGTTAGCAAAATCCATCAAGTACGAGCTCTCTATCGTGTACACAACACATTTTCATAATAAAGTGAACGAGTAAAAAGGACAATGACTCATATCAAATATTTTTCGATTTGTCTAATTTTCAATAGGGTTCTTCCTTGGGTGTTTGCACACACTCACACCAAATTCATCAGGATATCAGCTTTCTATCATGTTTACAACAATTGTTGCCTTAAATATATTTCCAAACCAAATTTGTTGGGGGCTACAAGTCAACAAATTATTGTCATTATCAAACTTGACCACGATCTCAATAATATAAATAAATCCACATCAGGTTTCATCATGTTCAGATATACATTGTGGCCTCTACCAACATTTACTTAATCAAGGGCCAAAATTAAAAAACGTTTTCGAAATTTAATAACAATCAAATCGGATAATCCGTTAATCACATATTTTGGTTGAAATAAATGTGGGTCATTTTAATATGGCGGCTGACAAGTTACATCCGGTTCGAATTTTTTCATAGATATGCACACGTATGAATGATTCTAACTTATAGAAAGAATAAATTTTCAAATATGGCGTTTCCAGGTAGTCAGTTGGTGCTTTCAGCTAGTCATATGATGCTCCCAGTGAGTGAAATGGTGCTTCCAGCCCAGTCAGATGATGATACCAGTAAGTTAGGTGTTGCTTCCAGCTAGTCAGATAATGCTTCAGCGATTCAGATCTTGACAGCTAGTTAGATGGTGCTTCCAGCTATACAGAAGATGCTCCCAGCAAGTCAGATCATGCTCTCAGTGAGTTAGATGATGCTTCAAATTTTCTAAGATGGGGCTTAAAATTTTGTGATTCACTGAGTTCACTTTGTGACCCAGTTAAAGCAGTACTAATAGTAATAATAGTAGAAGTATATTGACGTGTTACAGCAATATACAATTAAAATTCACAAGACGAAATTATTCCTGTCCAGCCATGATAAATTACGAGACAAGACATTCTTAAAATATAAAAATGATGTTATTTAAAAACATATAAATGATAACTTCTATAAAGATAATATATATACTGAACAGAAAAAGAAACGTCGCATAAGGAAGTGAATGTTATTCTCATGTCAGTAATGCCTTACGATACATGTCACAAAACAACCACCTTAAGCATTGTTATCTTAAGTGTTATTGCAATGTCATATCGATGGTCGGCATATATTCTGTAAATAAAGTGATACAAACTGTTTACAGATGCCATTGGAATCTGCGTCCAGACCCAGAGGAAAACTGAAATGAGATTTGTAACATTTCTATGAAGCGTCTAGATCTGGTTTAGACGTCTGAATTTCATCTCACAATTGTCCTATCGAGTTTAAGTCCGGACTGACTGAAGGCCAATACATTACTGTAATGTTATTCCGTTTGAGGAAGGTCCTGGTGACTATGACAGTGCGTGGACGGGCGTTCTGGTGCTGGAAGATGTGCTTTCGGAGTCTTGCAAATTGGGGTAAAACCTAAGGTCGGAGACCTGTCTGGAGCAATATTCTGGAAGGTCCAAGTTTCTGATTTAAACCGTGGTTATTTTTATATAGAACCCTGGCACATGTTGCAACTTGCTCCCATGACCAAATAACATTTGTTCAATATGCATTTACACCCGATTTATAATTTACAGTGGGTAAGCTTATATGAAATATTGATGTTCCTTTAAAATTTCATGAATGGCTTTGGCACTTTTTTTTGCTATTTTTCCATCAGCTAGGATCACAATTTATTAACCTTATCGAAGTTAAAGACAATTTTTTACCGACATTCCTTAATATGAACAAGAAAAATCCATAATTATATGGTAATCAGTAGCACAGTTTCTTTTTATTTTAAACATCTGTAGCTGATACAAACACTTCTCTAATGGTAACAGGTAGGCTTGATCTAGGACTGATGAATATAAATCGCGAAGAGAAGTCCACGTCTGGTTGGTTACATGAGGTTAAGTGGTACTCGTACAATCTCCATGTTCGATTATCCTTATAACAAACGACAGAATCATGAAATGTTTCAAGATTACATTCTCCATTATCGTTTAATTTTAATTGGAAACCTATTAGTCTGTTGATGGACACTGAAAGAAAGAAAACATTTCTGTATAATTTGATATTTTCAAATACTTTTAAGCAGAAACAAAAACGAGATACTTTATAACTTTTTTAAAGAGTTTTTTTTTCCCGGAAATTTTCTATTTCACCATATTTGAACCTATCGTGATTAATAATGTCTATATCGCGATACACAAAAATCCCATATCGCCCAACTCTATAATAAGATACCCATTCATTTCTGTAACACAAACAAACCTACTGTAGTGTCCCGAATTTTTGTTATAAATAACGATAGATGTGAAGTTGTATATTTTCTCCAGGTCAACACACCACCATTCCAGAGTACTCTCTCTAGTACGAGTTAGACTACTCAAATCACCATCAACAGCTCTGCAACCTTTTTCATTCTTAAATACACTGCTCATCAGGGCTGGTTTATTAAACGCGATGTTGGAAACAAATTTATCTGAAATAGTCACAAACCCTTCTTTTTCAGCTTAAGTGTCTTTCAATTTCAAATTGGATCGATTATTCTCTATTGGGCAGAAATTATGTCCATGGCTATCTGTACATACACCTATCCTGCACATATAAAGGACTGTGCTATTAGTCCTTCCAAACATACGTAACTTGATTCGGAAATTAAAGCTAATAAACAACTTTTAATGATTGTTTCTTGAGTTCTAGTTCATGTTTTGCAGACAGGATAGAACATCAAGTTTTCGTTATGAAAGGTAATGAGGATAGCCAAAAGTAGGATATAATTAGACTATTATGTCTCTTTAATACAAATTAATTTGCCTGATATGCCAAATTCCATGAAAACATTTCATAAGATAAATCACATTTAATGTGATACCGAGACAATGAGTTTTAGATGCTTAGAGGTGCCGTTCTAAAGAATTCGACTGGAGATTTTTTTTTTTTAATAAGATTGATAACCTTTATGAAATTCTTTTAAATGTGGAAGCAAAACAACAATATAGGTATAACTAGTTAACCACGCGGAAGAGGGATTTCATGAATAATATACATAGAAATTGGCATCTTCAATATCATCTACATATACGTTCTCAAGGGACATCCTTACATAAGTAGCTTGCCAGGCATGGTAACACGCGCCCATTACCAGTTGTCAGAAATAATAACAAAGTCTGTAGTGGCTTAATGAATTTTCAAGATAAAAATTGTAGTCTATATTGTGCCTAAAAGCCAAATTTTACATGATTTTACTAAGTCAAGGGCAATAACTCTCATCCAATTATTACCAATTTCGGACCTGACCGAAATCTCATCAATATATACATGCATACTCAGTTTCATCAAGATCGGATAAAATTTGTAGCCTTTATCATGCATACAAGCCAAATCTAACGCGTTTTACTAAGTCAAGGGCAATCTCTCTGAAACCATACGATCATTACCAATTTTAAACTTGATCGAGATCTCATCAATATATACATGTATACCAAGTTTTATCAAGATTAGATAAAAGCTGTAGTCTCTATCGAGCTTACAAGACATGTGTCGGACAGGGGCGACGACAACATCAATTGGCATAATCATAATCAATAGTAGTAGCGGAAGCGTAATTGATGGTACTGGTTCAATTTGACACTTTTGTACCACGTCCTATGCTAAAAAATCGACAGGCGCACACAAATCAGAGTATAAGATGATCTGTCAATCATTGTATCCAGTGAAGTGAGCACGATATAAAGGCATTGTAAAGTGATTTTTTAGCTGTAATGTATGAAGGTGATACTGTTGCAAATACATACACAAGAAAGAAAGCTAGAAAACCTTGCGAACAACCTTGAATCTCAAACAATAGTCAAACATAAACCCCCAAACTTCAAGTTGATGCATAAAAATGATTGTTAAAGTTACCTGGTGACATATACGTTACCATACCAATGTCCGTGGTAGAGGTTTCACAAGCTGGAAATGATTCAAATAAATAACACATCTTTCGAGAACCATGATAGGCAACCGCAATGCATACCTCATCATCAAAACAAGAATAAATACACCGTGTTCGAGATATAACGACATATTCATGATAAAAATTAGCGAAGTTTTTATCTTCTACGTAAGAAGTGAAAAACCTGTGACAATCAAAACTATTCCATAAAATGATGAAACACAGACATATAGTTAGAATATTATAGTAAGATATCTTTTTCTTAAGCCCAAAATATAATAATTCGGTCATGGTTTTGCAATGCAAACTCAAACCTTCGTTATCCAAACGTTAAGAAGTGTTTTTAAAAATATTTATAGTCTTATTGTGTAACGTTTCGAATAGTAGCGTGCTTTTTAAAGAGAGGACTAAGGCGTGACAAAATATTCTATGAAAAATGCTTTAAAGAGAGAGGACATCCGAATCTTAATTTATACAAGACAATATTGCTTCAAAGAAAAAAGAACAGAGAACGAACAAGATTATCGGTATAAATTTCACATTAATGTAACATGATCAGATCTGATGTTTCGTGAAAAGATACATTCTCAAACGGTGTGCCAAATTTGGAAACAGGATGAGATATATACACATTCAACACTTGATTGGCCCAGAAAATAGGGAATTGGTTCGAGAGTGGGAAGTCAGAGAGTGGACCACTGTTTTAGACAGACCTCGAACAATGTAAACAATGTAATTATTATCACCATTAGATGTTCCCTTTTAATAATTTGATGCTTAATATTAGATTTAAATATATGTTTGACTAAAGGGGATTTCAAAAATAAAAATTGATCAAAGGAAAGGCACCAGTCAGCTGGTCCATAGCAACACCTCTTGTCATTGTTCTCTCCCGAATTATTCGTACCCATTTACTGCTGGGTCGACTGGAATATTGAGGAAATATATCAAACGTTTACAAGTGGACCTCGGTTATAGAACCCAAGGCCACCATTAAATAGAAGCATACAACGGACACGTATTTCATCGGGATTTATCATCTACAAATTGCCGGCCAACCTTTTTACAATCAATTTAATAGGGTTTCTTTAACGAGTTATTGATTTAGGTAACGGTTTCAAGATTTTGTAATTTAATTTTAATAAGGTGTAATAATTTTAGTGAGGTGCATGTCTGGGTTTAACAAGATGTTTTTCACAATAAGATGTACAAGTAAGATCATAAACACCTTGAATATTTTATACAAAATAGATGTTGAAAAGCACACATACTTGCAGCTTGGGAATTAAAAGATAAACTTCAAAGAGCACGAAAGCAAACTAGATACTATGACATATCTATGCCTCTGATGAAAATGTGAGAAAATGATACTTGAAATCCGTTAGATGTGCAGTTGTCTTTTGAAGTCGGTCTTGCATCGCAACGCGATGAGGAAGTATCATAATGAAAAGTGGTATCAGGTAAATATTCGAGAAATAATTTTTGATTTCATGCCAGTCGATATTTTGTCTGTAAACGTAAAGTGGTAAATGAAATGAAATTGAGTTTTACGTCGGGAGAAAACGGGTTCTCTGTGAGCTAGGAAAGTGGTTTCATAGAGATTCATATATATATATATATATACATACTAACCTCACACTGCTTTAAGGCGAAGTTAAAAAACTTTTTAAGTAAGTGATAATAATTTCCCCCTATTAAAAAAATCGTTTGCTTTGGAAATATCAACGAAAAACTACATAAACCTACCCTTTCTTGGTAAGAACTCATGTCTGTTATGCAATTTTGATAATTTTCTTATAGATAATGTTTCTGAAAATATTGTCATATAATGTTGAAAATATTGCATGTTGCAATAAGAATCTTATTAAAAGCAAATGTTAATAAGTGAATGCAATACAGACGCCCGACGTTGTAAAAATGTAAATTTGGGATTGCTATAAAATCAAAAGTTATTGTTTTTCAAACAATGTCAGCATACTCATAGATAGCTTAGGTCAAGGATGTTGTTACAATTTCAATTTAGAAGAAAGAAAACTCGGGGTCAATTGGTCTGCAGAAAACCACCCGATCCAGTATCAGCATTTAGAAAATGCCTATAATTGAATGTTTAGCTTGTTCGAAAGAGGATATTATGTATATTATTAGCCTATTTTTAAAAAAAAACTGTGTAAGATTAAGGTGTGGCAGGGGTCAAATCAGTTCAAATGCATTATAATCTGGAAAAATGCAATTCGAATACATTCGTTTGCAATGATATGCTGTTAATGTATTTGCTTTTACACTCAATATTGGTTGAGTAGGCAGATGAAAGTCGATTAACTCCTTCCCAGACGAGTAAAAGCGCTCATGTTGTTAAAAAAGCATCTTCAGTTCTCACTATCCCGGACTATCCGGTAAAAATGCGTTTATATGAATAGATCCGGGATCATGGCTTCTCGTACTGGCTTGCTTTCCATATAAATAAGTAAATCCATAGAAAGTGACTATAGTGAGTCATCACCCTTCACATAATATGTTACAAAAAAATTCAATGCTCACTGACAATGTAAATGTTTATATTTTAGTAAATTGTGTGAATTTTAGAGTTGTGTTTTTCCGGTTCTGGAATCGATAAAATAAAAATCCGTCCAAGCAAAACAATACCGTTAATCACAAATCTCGTTCAAAGCATGACAAAATCAAGAGTAAAAGTATTATAGTAGTGGACTCCTCCACAGAGAAGTACCATCAGGTGATTCGAAATTATATATTTTCATGGCTCAAAAATAAGTACGTCACTGAATTCATTAGTACTTACTTGTGTATTGAGTATTACGGTTATATGGACTCACTCCACTAAAACATTTTATGCAAATGATTGTATAGGAATGTAGTCCAGGCTATTTTTAGAAATCTTCTTTCTCTCTCCCTTTTGGGGTTTTTGCCTGCCTATTTTTGGGTAAAATTTGGTCTAGATTTGGAATTTGATGTCTGAAATTGCATTATCTTTCAGATTTGGTGAGATGATGAGAGACTTAAAGGCGGAAGGCTAATTCTAAAAATAGTCGTTTTGTGAAGTGCCAAACTCTAGCGGATGAGTATAACCGGTAGTAGTCTACTTTCAATTTTAGTAGCTCAAAATTTTCATGGTCATCATATAATGAATTTTTTAGGAGACATTGAGAATTGGTCAGGCTTTCATTCGACATATTGGAAAGCTTTCAACGAGATTTCTGGAAAAAGTTATAGAAGGTTGAATTTCGTGTTTTAACATGGGAAGAGATGGCAAATGAATTAGTGGAGTGAGTCCATATACAACAATAGACTGAAAGTTGTATATTTTTTTTCCAGATCGACACACCACCATTCTAGTTCTGACTGTTTTGTATTGACAAACCCATCGTGTCTACCGTCAACACCTTCCCATGCTGCCCCATCCATACTATAAACACTGCTCATATTAGCAGGCTTATTTAAAGCAATGTTCTCTATGAAGGCATCTGAAATATTCAATTTACCAAATCATACAGGCCTATAAACAAGTAACAATTTGAAAGTTTTGGACAAATTCCTTCCTTATGTATCGAATTACTTGCATTAGGACTTGTACTGTATCAACTAGTATAATCTCTATACATCATAATGTTTGTTATTATGTAAGTATGTAAGTATATATCATCCATAAAATGTGTCGTTTCCACTATCCACAATTGCGATCAAACGCCCACAACCTTAGCCCACAACATACTCATGCGAAATTAAATTTTCTTCAATGGCGTTGATAAAAAAAACCCAATCGAACCCCACAACAGTTAGAATCTGATTTCTGACGAAGGCAGACAGCAGAAAATGTAAGTGAACAGTGGACTGAATTATAGACATTTTAATTTGTTAATAATTTGTCCGAGTGTCATTCAAATTGCGTCAATTATGAATGTATGTGATTATAAGAAATAACAGATTTTGTCTGGTGGTGGGATGTAGATTTTACGACCCTGGAACTGTTTCCTAACTTAATAAGTGACCGACAGCCTAAAAAGGTTGACAAGCGCTATTTTACCACGAATTATAAGTCAAATTAGGTCAAAACAAAGATCATCAACAACACAGGAATAGACACATCCCACTCTACCTGTTACTTCGTCTTGACGATAATATCCCGATATTAGTTTATCTTTTAAATATGAGGTGAAAATCTTTGATGAAATTTCAAAACTCTTAGAAATAAACAAATTAAATGCGACTTTCCTGAATAATGGACACATTTTTCTCTTATTTTCATCCCCGTGACTGATTGAACATAAACGTCGTAATAATTAAAAGTTTTTATAACAAATAGTAAGGAATAATTTACGAAAATTGTGTATATTGCACCTTTACTAATGATTATTGTTTATTAATCATAGACGAAAATTGTTTCAATAACCAAAGATTATTTTTATTTGTTGTATTAGTGATAATGTTATAGGGGGTTGAATGTTTCATCACCATCTTTAATGATTAACTATACGTATAAAAACAATTAATATAACATAACATTATGCACAATTAAAACAAATACTGGCTCCTGGTATTATACAAATATAATACATACGATGATCCAATTAAATATTGCGTCTACACAAATGGATACAGGACTGTTGTGTAATAGAAATTATTACAAATGCTCAGTAGTTGATACTATATATATTGGATACAAATAAACTACGCTACTTCAGTTAATAAGCTTATCCTAGTAGAAAGGGGTTTCCAACCACTCGGAAGGCAAGTGTTCTGTACAATAATTAATCTATCCTTAATCTACAAAGTTACAAAACTCTAGTTAAAAACCAGACTATACATAATGACAAATAGATAAATAATTACAAACATATATAGTCTTTGAAATGAAGACTTTACTAAATATAACTTAAACGAATAATGCCTTAGTTAAAACTATTACTTGATATATTCAATCTCGAGATAAAAGTTGGTGCACTATATCCTACGAATGAAAACATTCTTTTATTTGCTAACAGTTGCTTACAGTCGTTAAAAATGTCCCTATAATGGTTATGTTAATCAAATAAAATGCACACGCAGAATTGTGTACTGATCTGAAGCTTGTATTCAAGTTACAATACATCGAGATACATAACACCTAATTGGAGTTAAGGCTATTTTTCCATCAGCCAGGATCACAAACAATTTATTAACCTTATCGAAGTTAAAACCCATTAGTACAGACATTCTTTGTTACATTTCACTTCATCTGAACAAAGCTACCATATAGTCATTATAGAATTATGTTCTATCGATTTATTAAGACATTTAATAGAATTAATAATGACATCACAGAGCATTATTTTCTTACAGCCACAAAAGATGTTTTAATATTCAGAAAAAATGCTTTGTAAATTTCTCATTCCCAGTGAAAAATATCCATAATTATTTATCGGCTGCTAAGTAATGTAAAGTCAATGCAAGCCCCACGGGAATCAAGGATCAGGTGTGGGATAACCTTGTCGAGCAATTCCTGGAATATGATGGGGTGCACACATTGAAATGAGGCATATCCGGGGATGTCTTCATTCTCAGGTTCCTGCATTGAACGGTTGAAGTTACCATACTGTCTGCATGCAAGCGATGGGCGTATCCAATGCCGTTTCTTGGCTTGTCTTTTCTAACGGCCACGGAAAACCAATAATCCCACAAGAGATAAGTCTTCATCCGAGGATTATTTTTCAACGTTGATGATACACGTTGGTTTGCGTACATGTCAGCTAGTGTTGGCGGATGAGTCGCAAGATAGTCTGTTTGATCTACGATATCGGTGTGGAAAATCATGAAGTGTGACGCGGTATTTAGTATGTTTGTTGACAAACCTTATGTGTTATATTGTCTCTTTAAACTTCACAACACAGACACAGACAAAATGCACTCAACATGGAAATCAAATTAGATTACCAGTTATAATCGACGTGCACTGGATTTCTAAACGATTTTCTGATGACTTGCTGCACGGTCACGTTTCAAATTGGGATGAAATTCAACTCTCTTGGATAAGTCCTAGTAAAGACTGAATAAACCACAATTATTTTCTCCGGTCCGTGTGCAAGAGGTATTTTATCAGAATATTTCTCAACCAGGTATTAGCAACGGCATTGGTTACTCAATAACACGACGATTTATCCCATAGTAAAACATAAACCGACATGAAACGACCAATGAAAACGTATAACGACCAAAAACCAAGTAGAAAAACGGTCAGGAACGCATGATAATCAGGCCGAACGTGTACTTCTTTTTTATAAAATGTGTATTTAGATTTGGGAGAATTGCAATATTATTGACCTGTTATTGGAAGATGGTTTTCATATTTCCCAGTTGAGTGCATTTCGTCTGTGATATAACGCACTTAAACCACGGCTATATAATTCCATTTGGTGTGTAACATTTTTAATAAATTGTAATTGTTATATTGTGTTGTGAAGTTTAAAGAGACACTATTAAACATTAGGTTTGTAAAAAGTCAACAAATATTTTTTTTCTCAAATTGTCTAAAAGCGCGTAATTCTTAATATCTCGCAGAAGTCTTTTGGAATAACCCCTCTCCCTTAATTTTACAAATACAGGCGGATTCAAATTCCCTGTTGAGTGCAAATTCAATGAAATCTTAGAATTTGAGATTGAATTATTCCAGAAACTTAGAAACACAATATTGGTACCGACGATTATGGACAGGAGCCCCCCCCCCCCCCCCCGCCCCCTAATTTGCCTCATAAAGAGCTTACACGTATGTTTAAAAAAAGAAACAGGAAAATAATAATTGACATAGGAGTATTCTAAAAATATCAAGAAAGTTTCACTTTAATTTTTCATGATTTTGAGTAATTTATTGAATTCTCCCAAATGCATGTTTTTGTTTAAATTGTTTACTTGTTTGGCCTAATAAGCTTGTTTAGAATTTATCTCAAAATAGTATGAGTTATTGCCCTTGTTTCAATGTTTAACTCGTAGATTTTGACAAAACTTGGTAATAAGGATCTCGACGAAACTGTGTGAGTGTTTGTTATCTCCCACGGAGAAACCCTACAAAATAATTTATCAATTTTTAGCTTGTAAACACTCTAGAATATTTGATGGATTTTGACAAAACTTGATGTGAACGTTTGTAATCACCAAAGGATGAACCCATATTAAAAACAGAAAAATCAGAAAATATTTGATGTGAGTTATTGTCCTTGTTTTTAATATTTTGTTTAGCACTAACACTCTAGAATACACTATTCTTAATGGATTTAGAAGAAATTTTGTGAAATAGCTTATTACACCCTAGGATGAATAAATGAAAAAACTTCGAAAAATATTTAATATGAGTTATTGCCCTTGTTCTTTCAGATTTTGTGAGATTTGCATGCGGAAGAATAATTCGAAAACTAGTCGTTTTGTGAACAGTGACAGTCAAGCGGATGTTGATATAATGTCGTGGTCATGATACATGTATATTGAATTTTTGAACAGAAACTAAGTATTGGCCTGTCATTCTTGTGACCAATACGAAAGTTTTCAACGATATTTCTGGAAAAAGCTATACAAGGTTGAATGTAGTGATTTAACATGGAAAGAGGTGGCATACAAGAGTCCATATAGAGAGCAAGCCAGCCCGAGAAGCAGGGCTAGTAGGCCCAGCCTGGTATTCATTTTTATCGGATAGCCTGGGAGGCCAAGTCACGGTGCATGCGCCAAGCATATTTTAATTTAACCCACATGGCTTTCACAAAAGTAAACAAGATAAAACTTCCCTGTACAGAAGATGATTTCACAGCATTTTAAATCCCAGAAAGGAGTTAATTGAGTGTCTATCTTCCATGAAGTGTAAAATCACAAATGGCTTCGACAGATAACGTCTGGTATTTTTTCTGGACAATGATTATAATGCATTTAAACCAAATAATTTACCCACAACCCATAACCTTTGTTTTATTTAGGCCAATAATATACCGTTCATCAGTGTTCCTCTTTCTAACAGGCTAATGATTCAATTGTTAATATAAAGTAGGCTGGAAAAGTAGGGATAACATGATTACATGAAACCTGGCTCTCTATCCATATAAATACGTTTAAGTAGTTCCAAAGAAAGTAACTGTAGTGAGTTTTCACCCTTTATAAATATAATTTATTTTTATTTCGCTCACAGGCACTGTAAATATTGATATTTTGGAATTCTAGAATTGTAGAATATCTGGTGAATATACTAAATTAAATCATCAGAAAAGGAGCAGTCATCCTTGGTCCACTATAGAAGTGGTTCAAGCAAGGCAGAAAATGCCTCAACGATGAACCACATCCTAGTGCACATTTTTCAGAAAACATGACCCTCTATGAATGTCTTTTTAGGGTGGCTGCAGAAAATTTCTTCTTGATCGGCATCGCTAACAAAAGTGTGTAATCCCAGAAAGGTTCTATATAGAGTAACAAATGAATACACTCGACTTGGTCTTTCACAGTGGGGTTTACAAATTTTCAGCCAACGTTCGTATATATTTGTTGAAACAAGTAAAAGGTAAACTTAATAAATAAAAAAAAAAGAATAAATACATTAGTGCTTTCAAAAGCTGTTAATTTTTCATTAGCAGAGATAATAACAATCATTCGGAAAACTTCAGAAATAGAGTGTCCGAGAAATTAAAATGAACTACGTATCAGGCAGTTTCAAAGACTCACAGGGCATAAAATCATCTATATTATATTATACATATATTAATTTTAACTTTATTTATGGGGGAGTATTTGACAGCTTAAAAAATACTTGTGTCTATGTGCACAGATTTATCAAATTCTGTTGAGATCTTAATCTCTTTCATGGATTTTCCATTAATTTCTATGAGGGAATAATACTTGTTTAAAAACTTCATTTGCTTATACTTTTACTACAACCAATAGTGACAAACAGTGTCGAAAAAACATGTCATTGTTAGTATATTAAAGTATCCAATACTTGCTTTTTTAAGTCCATCACTAAAAACTTCGAATTAAAGATTCAGAATCTGATTAACATGCCGATCTAATGCAGGTTACTTAAAAAGGTTACATCACTTATACTTCACAAAAATGCAGTGGCGACTTATATATCAAACCATAAAATTCTAAAAGAAAAAAAATTTGTTTCAAATTTATGTCAAGTATTTGTTGGCAAGATGTTTGTACCATTCCGAGCTTGGTATATCATTTGATAACATTTGACATAAAATCAAAACCAAACCGGTATTAGCAAAAAGACGCG